TCGTTTTGAATGACTCATTGGACCAGATAGATTTAACAGACATATTTAGGACACTCCAGCCTAAAACAGCAGGATACACATTCTTTTCAAGCACACATGGAACATTCTCCAGAATAGATCACATATTAGGCCACAAAACAAGCCTCAACAAATTCAAAAGATCAAAGTCATACCATGCATCTTTTCTGACCATAATACTATGAAACTAGAAATCAATCACAAGAAAAAATCTGGGAAGAGCACAAATACATGCAGGTTAAATAACATGCTACTAAACAATGAATGGGTCAACCAGAAATCAAAGAAAAAAATCAATAATTACATGAAAACAAATGAAAATGAAAACACAATGGTGCAAAATCTTTGGGATGCAGCAAAAGCTGTTCTAAGAGGAAGTTTATAGCAACACAGCGCTACCTCAAGAAGCAAGAAAAATCACAAACAACCTTACCTTACACCTAAAGAAGATAGAAAAAGAACAAACCCCAAACCCAGCAAAAGGAAGGAAATAATAAAGATTAGAGCAGAAATAAATGATACAGAAACTAAAAAAAAAAAGATCAGTGAAATCAGGAGCTGTTTCTTTCAGAAGATCAACAAAATTGATAAACTCTTAGCAAGACCCATTAGAAAGAAAGACCAAATAAACAAAATTACTAATGAAAGAGGAGAAATAACAACCAATACCACAAAAATACAAACAATTCTAATTGAATATTATGAAAGCCTATATGCCAAACAGATTGGGCAACTTAGAAGAAATGGATAAATTCTGAACAGACCAGGTACTGGTAGGGAGATTGAACCAGTAATCAAAAAACTCCCAAAAAACAAAAGTCCAGGACCAGACAGCTTCACAGGTGAATTCTACCAAACATTTAAAAAAGAGTTAATACCAATTCTTACCAAATGATTCCAAAAAATAGAAGAGGAAGGAAAACTTCTAAATCCTTTTTATGAGGCCAGTATCACCCTGATACCAAAATCAGATAAAGACACCACAAAAAATAAAAATTACAAGAGAGCGAGAACACAATAGGCCAATATCTCTCATGAATATAGATGCAAAAATCCTCAACAAAATATAAGAAAACTGAATCCAAAAATATATTTAAAAAATCATGTACCACGATCAAGTGGAATTTATTCCCAGATGAAAGGGTGGTTTAATATTCACAAAACAATCACTGTGATATGTCACATCTAGAAAGGATAAAAACCATATGATCATTTCAATAGATGCAGAAAAAGCATTTGACAAAGTACAACATCCATTCATAATAAAAATACTCTCTGCAAAGTAGGTCTAGATGGAACATATGTCAACATAATAAAGGCCTTATTTGAAAATCCCACAGCAAACATCATACTTAATGGGGAAAAACTGAGAGCTTTTCCCCTAAGATCAGGAACAAGACAAGCACGTCCACTCTCATCATTTTTATTCAACACAGTACTGCAAATCCTAGCCACAGCATTAAGACAACATAAAGAAATAAAAGGTATCCAAATTGGTAAGGAAAAAGTAAAACCTTCACTATTTGCAGATGACATGATACTACATATAGAAAACCTTAAAGACTCCACCAAAAAACTACTAGAACTGATAAATGAATTCAGTAAAGTTGCAAGGTATAAAATCAATGTACAGAAATCTGTTGCATTCCTATACACTAATAATGAAGCAGCAGAAATTGAAAATAAAAAAACAATCCTATTTACAATTGCACCAAATACATTAAATATCTAGGAATAAACTTAACCAAAGACGTGAATTCTGAAAACTATAAAATACCAATGACAGAAATTCAAGACAAGGCAAAGAAATGGAAAGACATTCCATGCTCATGGACTGGAAGAACCAATACTGTTAAAATGTCCATACTACCCAAAGCAATCTACAGATTTAATGCAATCCCTATTAAATACCCAGAGCATTTTTCACAGAACTAGAACAATCCTAAAATTTTTATGGAACCACAAAGGACCTCAAATAGTCAAAGCAGTCTTGAAAAGGAAAACAAAACTGGAGGTATCACAATTCCAGATTTCAAGTTATATTACAAAGTGGTAGTGATTGAAACAGTATGGTACTGGCATAAAAACACACACACAGATCAATAGAAGAGAAGAGAAAGCCCAGAAGTAAACCCACAATTATGCCAGACAATTATATGGTCAATTAATCTTCAACAGAGGAAGAATAAACATACAATGGGAAAAGACAGTTTCTTCAACAAATAGTGTTGGGGGAAAACCACAGCAACAGGCAAAAGAATGAAACTGGACCACTTTATTTCACCATACACAAAAATAAACTCAAAATGGATTAAAGACCGAAATGTGAGGCCTGAAACCATAAAAATCCTTGAAGAGAACATAGGCAGTAATCTCTCTGACATCGGCCACATCAACACTTTTCTAAATGTCTCTTGAGGCAAGAGAAATAAAAGCAAAACTAAACTACTTGGACTACATCAAAATAAAAAGCTTCTGCACAGCAAAGGAAGCAATCAACAAAACTAAAAGGCAGCCTACTAAATGGGAGAAGATATTTGCAAATGACATATCTGATAAAGGGTTAGTACCCAAAATGTACAAAGAACTGATACAACTCAACACACACAAAAAACCCCAAATAATCCATTTAAGAAATGGGCAAAAGACATGAACAGACATTTCCCCAAAGAAGACATACAGATGGCTAACAGACATGTGAAAAGATGTTCAACATCACTTATCACATGGAAATGCAAATCAAAACTACAATGAGATATCACCTCACACCTGTCACAATGGCTAAAATAAAAAAACACAAGAAAAACAAGTATTAGCAAGGATATGAAGAAAAAGGAACCCCCATGCACTGTTGGTGGGAATGCAAACTGGTGCAGTCAATCTGGAAAACAGTATGGAGATTCCTCAAAATATTAAAAATAGAACCCGTATAATCCAGGAATTGTACCATTAGGTATTTACCCCCCAAATACAAAAGCACTAGTTAAAGGGATACATGCAACCCTATGTTTATTGCAGCATTATTTACAGTAGCCAAACTATGGAAGCAGCACAAGTGTCCACTGATAGATGAACAGATAAAGATGTGGTATATATATATGCAATGGAATATTATTCAGCCATAAAAAGAATGAAATCTTGCCATTTGCAACAACATGGGTAGAGCTAGCGTGTATAAAGCTAAGCAATAGAAGTCAAAGAAAGACAAATATCATATGATCTCACTCATTCCATATGTGGAATTTAAGAAACAAAACAAATGAGCAAAGGGAAAAAAAGAGAGAGACAAATCAAGAAACAGAGTCTTAACTAGAGAGAACAAACTGGTTACCAGAGGGGAGGTGGGTGGGGGAAATGGGGGATGGGGATTAAAGAGTATGCTTATCATGATAAAATAAAGTGATAAAAAATTAAAAAGTTATATAAAAAGTTAAATCATACATGTTTAAAAAAATTTTTTAAGCTTATTGTGCTTCCTCCTGTTTATAAAAGTAAATTTTGCTCCTTGTAAAGGAACAAAAAATTAGAATTGTACAGGACTATAATTTATAAATTTTTTTAAATTAACAACAAATTATGAAACATTTACCATGTGTTTACATAGTGTTTTACTTGATCTTTAATATTTGCATTGTATTTCTGGAATAAATATGACATAATTTGTTTACTTAGTCTTATAAATTGTTGGAAATTTAGGCTGTTTCTAATTTACAAAACTATAAATTATTTATAAACGATTTTACACATCTCTGATAATTTCTTTGGATTTTGTCACTTGTAAAAATAAGTAGCAGACAATGTCCTTACCTCGATTACTTAAATTGTTAACTAATAAAAGAATAAAAATGGAGCCTTATGAAAAGTCTATATGAGGGAATGTTTTCCAGGTTGTGTTTGTATTAATTCATGATTACCATTCCTTGGATATAGGTCTGTTGGCACCTAATTACATCATCTTCCAACCTATATCTCTCCATCTTTTCCACAGGTATGTAAGAGACTTCATTACATATAATTCTAACATCCAGCTGTACCATTTTTACAGAATCTATTTCACCTGTGTTTCTAGTATCCTATCATAAAAGCATAAGAAGGCATCAATGGTTCCAAGCGAATTCACACAGGTTTTCTTTTCTAAAGGCTATTAGAGAAGATGAGGCAAACACAGGTGCTCCAAGGAAATCAGAGTGGAAGCATTGCTCCCACAGATAGGGCAGAGCTGAGAAGCTGATGTGCTGAGAAATAAGAAAGAATCTGAATCAGAATGGTAATTATAAGACTCCCACAATTATATCATCATATACTGCTACCATAATATATACTCCCAGCTTAAGCCACTGAGAATAACCTGAAGGAGAAAAGGCCAAAGTAAAATTGACATATTTAAGTAATGGCACAATATGTCTTTGGAGTATAATACTTTTTATGTTAGTGATTGGTTTAAATGTGAACCTAATAGTGCCTATAATTATGGTTGTGTGTCTGTAATCGGTAAACAGTGGTGAAGAACAGAGGCATTTCCTTGAGTTCCTTAGTTGGGTGTACACTGGTAAGACCACAAGTCAGCAGTTTTTCTGTAGAGAGCCAGATGGCAAACACTTAATCTTGTGGGTCACATAGTCTCCACTGCAGCTATTCAATTCTACCATTGTGGTACAACAGCACCGTAGACAACATGTACATGAATGGACGTGGCTGTATTCCAGGAAAACTTTTTTTACAAAACAGGCAGTGGGCTGGATTTGGTCTATAATTTGTTGACCACTAGTGTAAACACCGCGAGGTAAATATCTAGCGCAAAATGACACTTAAGGTCTTGAACATGTCCTAAAATCCCAAATGAGCAAGGAATATTGTGCAGAGGAGTGCAATTTTACTTTCCTATGATATTACAGGAATCACAATTTCATATTCAGTGAACTCAATATATAGTTGAACCAATTTCTCTAGATATCATCAAAACCTGAGAATCATTTATTTACCTGTGCATAATCACCAAAAGGTTGAGAATAAGAAATGCACTTTTCCAATGTGTGTTGTGATTCATTTCCCTGAAAGACTGCATCCAGAATATTGCTTGCAATTCCAGTCTTCTGTAGAGTGGTTTTATTTGCAGGGGCTAAAGGCAAACATCAATAATATTTTTAGCTAAAAGTTGTTTTGTTATAGATTATAAACAAAATACAAAACTCATTAATTCAACATATTCCCAAACAGAACACAGATTTTCATTTGCCAGTATATATCTATATTTCTTATCCCCAGGAGAAGAATATATAGTATATGATGTTGTCTTGTTCATTTAAAGCAACTGAAAATGGAAGTTTGCCTTATGGATAAATAATTTTGATGGAAACATTTTAAAGATATGTGTCTAATCTCTAAAAGAGGCAAACAAAATGTAAACTAATCATTCTTGTTAATGCAATAGTTGTAACCCTCGATTCTAATTTTTTTTAAAAGATTTTATTTATTTATTTGACAGACACAGCGAGAAGGAACGCAAGCAGGGGGAGCAGGAGAGGGAGAAACAGCTTCTCACTGAGCAGGGAGCCCAATGTGGGGCTCGATCCCAGAACCCTGGGATCATGACCTGAGCTGAAGGCAGACGCTTAATGACTGAGCCACCCAGGCGCCCCGTAACCATCAATTTTTAGACCAGATAAAAATGTAGTAGGTATAGGAGAAGCACATTAAATTTTTTTTCTGGTTCTTTTAAAAAATTACAAATTAATGTCTAGGTTCAAGAGGATACTTTAAAAACAGAGAATATATATTAAAATCTTTAGAATTTATTTTCCCAGATTTGCTGCGTGCATTTACACATTAAACATATACACATAAGGATATATAGCTTTAAACAAACATAAATGGAATCATTTTATGCACACATTTGCTTTTTCCACTTAATTTGCTTTAGAGATTTCATATTAGTACATGTAGCTCTCCCCCAACTGTAACAAAAAGTTGTATTGCATTCCATTTTATGATGATTTATTTTTTATTTAACCATTCCCCTACTGATGAACTTTAAGGCACTTTTCAGTTACACAATTGACAACTAACATTGTAGTGAATATCCTAGGGCCTAGAGCATACCATATTTGCAATTTTCCCTTAAAATTATATTTGATAATTAATTTACCTTAATTAAAGGCCTGAGAAGGTCTTCCAAAAAAGTAAATAAGAGTTCAACTTCTGCCAATTATCATTAGCGCACATATTTTGGGGGTACTTTGCAAATATTCTGGATATATGAGATACACGGAGGTTTAAACCTCTATTTTAGAAATAGATTTAGAATAGAAATGATTCTATATATAGTTAAACATTATAGTATTGCCAATAATTCCCTTGCCTGATGATTTTCTATTATTATTCAAAAATAGATTATATTCTTAAAAAAATGTTACAGAAGATTTTTTCCTTAAATAATTAGAATGCATTTTAACTGTCTTAACTTTAGTTATTCTTTAATTTAAAGACTGGGGTCATAATTTAGGCATTCATAACCAATAAGCATTATTTACTTCCATTCAATTAAAAATTAAAGTAAAACTGATTATGGAAAGTATTTAATAAAACTCCAAAATATTAATACTGAGCTCTCACTTACATGATAAGCACACACTGGGCAACACACTTGCCAAATTCAAGTATGGATTTTTACTGAGCCGTATTTCTTTTGGTGGTTCTCCCAACAGTGAAGTCTGATTCTTAGAGGCAGCCTATTTATCAAAAACAAAACAGTAGGTGTTTAATCAGAGGTACAGGAAAATAAAAATGCGGAAAGAGATTTATTTATTTATTCTTCAATAAATCTAGTCTAGTGTAATAAAAATTTGTGGAACCTCATATTTGAACATATGAAGTTATGGAATATTTCTGGATATTGATTAAAATGATCACATTCCACTTGCTATTACTTTTTCAATTAGTTTTTTTTTTTTAACTATTCCAGAACCATAAAACTTTAGAAATGAAAGAATTAAAGGGCTTCTTGTAAATCCTTCTCATTTGAACTAGGAGATAATTCAACTTCACAAGAAAAAATGAATCCCATATCTTATTTCCAGAAATACTGTTATCTACATTTTCTTATTAAGATTTTTATTTTATAGTATATGGCTACAGCCAAATGATAAAGGAAAGCTTACTTATCTCTGGTTCTAAATACCAAACAAAATAAGTGGATTTAATAAAATCCAAATCCACAGTTTAGAAGATAACCCTAGAAATTCACATTTCTTGAAAATATATCAGTAAATTTTATATAACTAGGTGTAAGAGTTCTAGTATTTCTTTTACAGAAGAAAAGGCTGATTCTTCAGATCATTTCTTTTTTTTTTTTTAAGATTTTATTTATTGATTTGAGACAGAGAGATACAGATAGAGAGAGAGCACGAGCAGGGGGTAGGGGCAGAGGAAGAGGGAAAAGCAGACTCCCCGCCGAGGTGGGAGCCTGATGTGGGGTTCGATCCCAGGACCCCAGGATCATGACGAGCTGAAGGCAGATGCTTAACCATCTGAGTCACCCAGGTGCCCCTCATTTCATTTTGTTCTGAGACAATTTTTTACTTTTCACTTTCTGTTGGTAAAAACTTTTTAAATAAGACAATTCAGATTACTATAATTAAAGCTAGCAGTTAAGTTTTCATTTCAAATTAATTTTTACTTTGTTCCCTGAACAGAATGAAGGAAGTATAATCTCAAGTGCTTATTTCTATATTTGAGAGCAACAACTCCTTTTTTTCTTCCTTATCTGGCCAATATTATTGTATTTGGGTTGCAAAATCTGTCTTGTACAACTTCATAAGCCCCAAAGAAGTCCAGATTTGCTTGTGATATGGATACAGATGTATTTATCTATTCAAATATGCTTACTCAATGTTTTCCATGCTCCAGGCACTGTGGTAAGCATTGATAATACTAAAATGAGTAAGACAGGGCACCTGGGTGGCTCAGCATCTGCCTTCAGCTCAAGTCATGATCTCAGGGTCCTGGGATTAAGCCTTGCGTCAGGCTCTCTGCTCAGCGGGGAGCCTGCCTCTCCCTCTCCCTTTGCTGCTCCCCCTGCTTTTGCTCTCTCTCTCACTCAAATAAATAAATAAAATCTTTAAAAAAATAAAATTCAACACACTCAGCAAAGTTGGAATAGAAGGAAGCTATCTTAATATAACAGAAGTTATATATGAAGTTCCATATATATATATATGAAAAGTCAACAACATACTCAATGGTGAAAGACTGAAATCTTTCCCTCTAACATCAAGAACAAGACAAAGCTATTTGCTTTCACCACTTCTGTTCAACATAATATAGGAATTTTAGCTAGAGCAATTAAGTAGGAAAAAGAAATAAAAGACATCCAAACCAGAGTGGAAGAAGTAAAGTGATTTCTGCTTTTGGATGCATGAAAACCCTAAATGTTACACATATACAGACACAAACTATTAGAATACATGAATTCAGCAAAGTTGCAGTATATAAAATCAACATAATCAGTTGCATTTCTACACACTAACAATGAACGATCCAAAAAGAAAATTAATAATTCCATTTACAACAGAATCAAAAAGAACTTAAGAATTAACTGAAACCCCCTCAAAAGGAATAACTGAACCAAGGAAGAAAAATACTTACTTAAAACTACAAAACATGGCTGAAAGTGATATTTAAGCAGAAATCTCAATAAAGTGAGGGATTAAGCCATGAAAATATCTAAGACTGCACTGTCCAATATGATAGCTACTAGCTACACATGACTACTGAGCATAAGAAATGTGGATAGTTTAAACTGAGATGTATGTGGAATGTAAAATATATACTAAATCTCAAATAGTACCAAAGAATGTAAAATATCTTAATAGCTCAGTACATATTACATTTTGAATATTTTGAATATACTGTATTAAATATTAAAAATGTTAAAAACGGGCACCTGGGTGGCTCAGTTGAGTGTCCAACTCTTGGTTTCAGCTCAGGTCATGATCTTGGGGTCCTGGAACCAAGCCCTATGTGTAGTTCTGTACTCAGTGTGGAGTCTGCTTGAGATTCTCTCTCTCACTCTCCCTCTGCCCCTTCCCCTGCGCATGCTCTCTCTCTCTCTCTCTAAAGAAATCTTAAAAAAAATTTAAAAACATTGCTGGATTAAAAGACATAAATAAAAACTTTCTCTGTCAGGTGCCTGGGTGGCTCAGTCGTTAAGCGTCTGCCTTCGGCTCAGGTCATGATCCCAGGGTCCTGAGATCGAGTCCCACATTGGGCTCCCTGCTCGGCAGGAAGCCTGCTTCTCCCTCTCCCAGTCCCCCTGCTTGTGTTCCTGCTCTCACTATCTCTCTCTCTGTCAAATAAATAAATAAAATCTTAAATTAAATAAAAAATAAAAACTTTCTCTGTCAAATAAAATCTTTTTAAAAAAAAAACCTCTGTCAAATAAATAAAATCTTAAAAAAAAAAAGACAAATAAAAGGAAAGGCATCCCATGTTCATGGATTAGAAGATGCACTGTTAAAAATGTCAGTATTAACCAGTGACCTACAGATTCAATATAGTCCCTATCAAAATTCCAACTTTTTTTTTTTTGCAGAAAAAGAAAAATCCACCCTAAAATTCATATGGAATTCCAAGAGACCCCAAATAGTCAAAACAATGTTGAAAAAGGTGAAAAATAGGAACAAGAATGGAAGGCTCATACTCTGTGATTTCAAACTTCCTACAAAGCTACAGTATTCTCAACAGTGTAGTACTGGCATAAAGACAGAAATACAGACAAATGGAATAGAATAGAAAACCCAGAAGTAAGTCCCTGCATATATGGTTAAATGATTTTTGTCAAGAGTGTCAAGATTATTCAATGGGGAAAGGACAGTCTTTTCAACAAAAGTGCTGGGAAATCTGGAAATCGCATGTAAAAGGGTAAAGTAGATTCTCACCTTACATCATATACAAAAATTAACTCAAAGATCAAAGACCTAAATGCAAGAGCTAAAATTATAAAACTCTTAAAGGCTTAGGTAGAATGCTTCATGATATTGAATTTGCCAATGGTTTTTTTGGGGGGGGTCTGACAACAAAAGCAGAAGCAGAAAGTGAGAAAGAGAGAAAGAAAAAGAAAAAATAGATCATATGTTGGGCCACAAAATAAGGCTGAACAAATTTAAGAATACTGAAATCATATCAAGTATTGTTCTGACCACGATGGTATGAAACTAGAAATCAATAACAGGAGGGAAACTGGAGAATTCACAGATATACAAAATTAAACAACACACTCCTGAACAACCAACAGGTCAAAGAAGAAATCAAAAGAGAAGTAAAAAAATATCTTGAGACCAATGAAAATGGAAATATAGCATACCAAAACTTATCGAATACAGCAAAAGCAGTTCTAAGAGGGAAGTTTATAGCAATGCCTACAAGAAGAAAAAAGAAAGATTTCATTCAAACAACCTAACATTACACATCAAGGAACTATAAAAAGAAGAACAAACTAAGCCCACAATTAGCAGAAAGGAGAAAATAAAAAGGTTAGAACAGAAATAAAAGAGACTAGAAAGACAGATCCGTGAAACTAAGTGTTGGAGTTTTGGAGAGATAAACAAATAGAGAAACCTTTAACTAGACTAGCCAAGAGAAAAAGAGAGGACTCAAATAGTTAAAAATGAAAGAGGAGATATTCAAACTGATACCACAGAAATATAAAGGATCATAAGAGACTATTACCAAGAAATACATGCTGACAAACTGGATAACCCAGAAAAAAAAAAAAAAACGGATAAATTCCTAGAAACTTACAACCTACCAAGACCAAATCATAAAGAAATAGAAAATCTTATCAGACCAATAGTGAAATAAGAAGTAATCAAAAACCTCCCAACAGGGCGCCTGGGTGGCTCAGTTGGTTGAGCGACTGCCTTCAGCTCAGGTCATGATCCTGGAGTCCCTGGATCGAGTCCCGCATCGGGCTCCCTGCTCGGCGGGGGGTCTGCTTCTCCCTCTGCCCTCTTCCCTCTCATGCTCTCTGTCTCTCATTCTCTCTCTCTCAAATAAATAAATAAAATCTTTAAAAAAAACAAAACAAAACAAAACAAAAAAACCTCCCAACAATGAAAATATCAGGGCCAGACAGCTTCACTGGTGAATTCTACTAGACATTTAAAGAAAAATTAAAGCCATTTCTTCTAAAACTCTTCTAAAAAATTGAAGCGGAGGGAGTACTTCCTAATTTAATGAGGTCAGCATCGCCTTCAGACCAAAGCCAGACAAGAACACAAGAAAATAAAATTGCGGACCAATATCCCTGATGAACATAGATTGCAACAATCCTCAACAAAATACTGGCAGCCCAAATTCAACAATACATTGAAAGACTGCACACCATGATCAAATGACATAGCGCAGACATAAACACACACATATGTAGTCAATGAATCTTTGACAAGGTAGTCAAGAATTCACAATAGGAAAGGACAGTTTCTCTAATAAGTGGTGTTGGGAAAATTGGATGTCTACACACTAAAGAATGAGATTGGACCAGGATCTTACACCGTACATAAGAATTCACTCAAATTGGATTAAAGACTTAAAGATAAGACCTGAAGGGGAAAAGTTCCTTGATTTAGTCTTGGCAATGATTTTTTGGACATGACACCAAAAGAATAGGCAACAACAGCAGAAGAAACAAGTGGGACTACATCAAACTAAAAAGCTTCTGTACAGCAAAGGAAACCATCAACAAAATGAGAAGACAATCTCCAGGATGGGAGAAAATGGATACAGCCATAATGGAAAACAGTATGGAAGTTCCTAAAATAATAAAAAATAGAACTACCATATGATTCAGTAATCCCATTTCTGGGTATATATTCACAGGAAATGAAATCACCGAGGTAGAGTACTCCCACGTTCACTGCAGCACTATTCCCAACAGCCAAGATACGAAAACAACATCAGTGCTCTTTGATGGATGAATTCAGCCTTAAATAAGGAGGAAATCTTGCTATTTGTGATAACGTGGATGGACCTTGAGGGCATTATGCTACGTGAAAAAAGTCAAATAGAGAAAAACAAACACCATATGATCTCACTTATATGTAGAATGAAAAAACAACAGCAAGCTCACAGATACAGAAGAGAGACTGGTGGTTGTCAGAGGCAGTGCGGGCAAAATAGTCAAAAGGTACAAATTGCCAGTTATGAAATAAATATATCAGGGGGGTGTAATGTACAGCATGGCAATGATATTTAATAATACCATGTTTTATATTTGAAAGTTGCTAAGAGAGTAGATCTTAAAAGTTCTCACCACAAGAAAAAAAATTATAACCATGTATGGTAATGGATGTTTGTGATGATCATTTTGTAATATATGCAAATGTCAAATTACTATGTTATATACCTCAAACTAATATAATGCTATATGTCAATTATACCTTATAAAAAAATTTCTTAAAAATGCAGGTCTAAAAACCTAAAGCCAAGTTAAGCCAATTATGTTTAGCAAAGTCAAAAATCTTGTTACATTATTGGAAAACCTACTTTGAGATTACCTGGTTCAAACCCCTGCTGTCAGAAAGAGGAGTCACTTCTACAACAATCTGCACCAATGCTCACCTGGCATCTGCTTAATTATTTTCAGTTTTTGGTTTGTTTGAAAGCTTTAACTGTTCTTTGTTATATTACGCCTAAATGTGCTTTATTGTATGTAATACTTATTGGACTGGGTCTGCCTACTGGTGAAACACAAAATACCAGGTGACTAGTCTGAGAGTAAATTTTTTTAATGTATATCCAGCTGGTGCTCCCTTTCCGAGTTACATGTATCCATTTCCCTCAATTCTTTCCCCAGAACCTGTTCTCCAGGCCCTGGGCCACTTTGGCTGTTTTCCTCCTCATTGACTCTGCCCATTATGTGAATCACCTCAAATTAAGCTTTTCTGAAGATCTGGTGCTTTCTGTCCAAAAAGATACAACATATTCATATATGAATTCTATTTGTTTAGTTTCCCTCAATAACCCAGGAAATTAATTTTGCAGATAAAATTTTTAAATTCATTCTAGAAGAAGTGCCTTAGCTTTCTCAATGAACAATTGCAGAGCATTCTTTCCATACTTGTTGCTATGACTAGTTGACAATAAAACCTCCTCCAAATTCAATATTATTATTTTGACATTTGAAAAAAGCCAACTAAATGAATTTTTTTTCCTCAAATGCTGCTTATAGCCTGAGTTTTATACTACTTACAAACCAAAGGGTATTTCAGGGTATGAATAAAAATTGAATGTACTTTATTCTACTTATCAATTATAACATTTACAAATGTCACTGGCCTAAGAACCAATAAAATAACTGGGTAAAATCTTCCAGAATTAAAACAGAGGTTAGATTCTTTTGAGCAGACCAGAGTTTAATAAATGACTTTGACATTTTTCAGATAGAATAAAATTGGTTTTGCCTTCAAATATTAAAATACCCTAATTAGCTATAGAGTATAGAAAACAAACATTTAAAGTAGAAAACAAAAGTTTAAACTTTTGTTTAAAGTAGAAAACAAACATATTTTGAAAGCATTATTATTAACTTAGAAAGCCTCATAAGTAATATGTAATTGGATAAGCATCAATGACACTCTTAAACTTTCCCAAACTCTAAAATTTTGAACTCAGTTTATATTTCATTTCTAAAATATCAAGCATTTTTGAGTATCTCAAACTTTTTAGAAAAGCAAATATCTATAATAAAGATTCTATACCTAAATTATTTTACAATAACAGACTTAAACTCATTTTGCTCAGATTATTTTACTTACAGACAAACTGGTAAGTAATGAAGCAACAGTCCCCAAACATTAGCTGACATCACTTACCAAAAGATGGCTTTTTGTTTGCTTATAATAACAGGGTTTTTTTTTTTAAGAGCGCAATATTTTCTTCTATTCTGAGACGTAAATTCACATTATGAAAAAATCATGTCATTGACATATCAATTATCTAGTTTGTAATCCATATTTATATACTTTAAGTCTATTATTTTTTTTGAAATTTAAAAATGGTTAAGATGCTTTATGATACTTCCTAAATTATACTACCTGTAACATAACCCCAATTTAGAATCTTCTAAAATTAGAATTTAAGATATAATTTTAAAAGAATATACATATATATATTCCTGCATAGTATCTACATACATGTAGTATAGATGTGTACACGTGTGTCTATGTGTGTGTGTGTGTGTGTGTGTGTGTGTGTGTATGGACAAACACAGTTTTCTTACCCCTGAACTTATCTCCGTGCCTCTTGGCTGACTTTGCTGTTGCTTATGGTGTCCCGTCAGCAAGCCTCCAGCAGTAAGGTTTGGAAAGCTCTGAAGATAAGCCTGTGACCCTGAGAAATTTCCTTCTGCCTTCCCCACCAAGGCTGGTTGTTTCTCTTGAGCATTCCCATGCCCTGGCCCAGCTTGTCCAGCAATGTGCTGATTTGGAAAGAATGGTAATATGCCCATTCCAGCTGTTAGAGTTGTTTGAGTTGGAATCAGATTAGATGCTGTAGTGAACCACAAATGCAAGAAGCTTTTGGTTAGACGAGAATTATTCACAACAGTCCTTTGATTTTGTTAACTTACAGGGGAAATATATCTATTAGAGAACAGTTACACTCAGAAGGTGAAGTTAGTGCTTGTAAAGTAGCAGGTTCCTATATGGAAAAACAAAAACCTCTAACAGTAATCATGCTTTTCTTATATTCAACAACTTCCGGGATAATATCAAGGATATTTTTTTAATTCCAAGTTTTAACTGTATATTTTAGAATTTGAGAGCAAAATGTATGTATTTTTTAGCACTTAAGTTATATCAGGCACCTTCTTTTTTATGCTCGATCACTGTAATTTGCCTGCTTCCATATTTGAAGGGAATAATTAAATATGTCTTCATTTAAAAAAATTCTCTGACACTTAAAAATAAGTTTAAATCCAATAATAAATTTGATCAGCTGACTTGCACCAGTTCATAAGAGCGGACTGTGCATATCTTTTCCCAGCTCCTGAATTAGAAGTCTTCCCACGGGTAGTGGGCAACTGGCAATGAGTTGTAGTGTTCACACAAGGAACTCCAAAAATGCTACAAAAAATCAAGACTTCTTTTTTAAGCCTAGACAGCTGGTTTTTAAACATCAGCACACCACTGGTTTAAAAAACACCAATATTTGTGAATAGATAGGCACCAAAGAGATCACAAAGTTTTACATTTTTATTTACAGGAAATAACAAGAAATTCTGGAAGAAATGAAAGTTTTAGTAGGAAAATTCTGAACCATTTCACTTTTTAAAAAATCTGTACTTCAAAATCAAGAGACAAGAGCTAATTTTGGTAACTACTTCAAGTCAAATTTATATTTTATAAATTCACTACACAAATTTAATTATTTCTAGTACTAAATATTTAGAGGTGGATACTTAAGTTCTTTTAGCAATGTATTTATTTGGACACTGAATTTTCAGTGTTCTTAAAGCAGTGCATGCTAAAGCAAATGGTCTATTATTTAATTCAACACAAATAATAAACATTTGCATAAGCTTTTAGTGATACAAAATTTAATTTTTAGAACAGGCCTCATCATACCATAAAATTTCTACACCTGTCTGTATCCTAGTTCAACTTCTGCACAGTCGATTCCAACAGTCAGAACTGATGGACTCATTTAGTCATTTGACTCACTGGTTTTATGTAGAGGCTAAATATGCTACCCAAATTTAACTTTTTTTAAAAAAAAATTTTTATTACTGGTGGCCCTTCTCTTTTCCCAGCATAATCACTTCAAACAAATTTCAATTACACTTCAAACTGAAAGTGCCTTTCAAAATCGCATCCAAATAAGAAATCTTGGTATAATCTACCACAGGCTCTTGTTTTTCTAAAATAATAGTTTTGTTTAATTTGTCATCTTTTCAGAAGCCCAACGGACACATGTCATTATTTTTCTTCTACTACTAGTTTGGAGATCACATTTAAAAAAAACATTATAATCAAGTAAATCACCAAAGTTTACATCAGAATGCCACATATTTCCTTAAAAGCTAAGGGTTTCTTATTCAGGCAAAAATTAAATGGATACCTATGTAATATGTTGTCAGCCCAGCAGGCAGCATGTCAGTCTCAAAGGGATCTATGTCTTTGCCTCAGGCTGCGTGAACCCTCATCAAATATTAAAGCATATCCAACAGGGAAAGTGTGATCTTGGCATGCCAGCAAGTCCATCAATAACTTATCAATAATTCTCTAATATTAAAAATAGAAAAGCCAAGAGGGCTCTTAAAATTTTAAAGAACTGAATAAAACTCAACTTGGACCTTTCTGTAAATAAAAGCAAGATATAGGTAAACCATCTTTAAATCTCTAATGGGACTGTTTATGGACTTGTCAGTAAATGCATATCATTTACTTTTGTGTGCTTCTCCAGGATGACCCAACTCTGTTTTCAAAGGAAGTGCTGACCCTATCCCTACTGTGGTTTGAAGTACCAGGGCTGGGGGATCGCCAAGTAAGCCTGGTTTCTGCAAGAGAAGAAAAGAAAGTTAGACTTCTGCCTGTGGCAACAGGGTATCGTGGTCATGAAGAGACTACCACATGGGAAAAGTTATCAACAACCTGACCAGCAGCCTGAGTCTAGGAAGGGAATGAATTCAATTCAAAGGAAAAAAAACAAGTCCATACTTACATTATTAGTATGAATATTCTCAAACTTCAGTAACTGTTGTTGTACTGGTGGTACGTGAGAAAGATTCTGAAGGAATAAATTGGAAGTATTACCCGTAACTGTGCTCTGTGAAATGATAGAGCATTCCGTTAGTTTAACTTTGGAAAGCTATTTGTCCTAGATCCCAGTTCATTTTCAAGGTCAATTCTCCAGATCTGAGCATAAGCAACGGCTTCTTAATATGCCACTTTCCCACTTTAGGCAACGTAATTAATTCTTTTAGAACATACAAGATGTGACCACGTAGTCATGAAACTAACGCCACATCCTCTCCTTTTCTTTTCTTCCATCCTTCTTCCTTCCCTCACCCCTTTTCAGCTTCCATGTCATTCAATCCTTTATTTCTTCACTTAATCATCCAACAAATATTTATTGAGCAGTTTCTATGCGCCAGGCACTGTGTTACATAGTGAGAAATGCAAAATATGACCTGCCCTCACGGATCTTAGAGGCTCCTGGGGAAGGGAGACATTCATTAATTATAAAAACATTAAATTACAAATGGTGATGAGCATTTGAAGGAAACACACAGGAGCTCTGAGAATAGCTGGGGATTTGATTTAGATTGGTAAATTCAAGGAAGGTTTCCCTGAGGAACTAACTCTTGCGCAGAGATCTGAAGGTTGTGCAGAAGTAACTAGGTGAAATCTGGGGGACTTAGGTGCTGCTGGGGTGGGGATCATGCCAGGCAGAAGGAACAGCAGGGGAGCAAAGACCTAAGGAGAAGAGATCAAGGTCCTCTGAGGACCAAAAGCAGGCCACTGCTGCTGGGATAGGAGAGGCCTGCTTGGACACGCCTTCTGGGCAAAATTAAACATTCTAGTCTCAATTCTAAAATAAAGAGAGTATCGTCAATACTCTGAACTCCCCTCCCATGTCACTCTTCACACCTTATTGTAATTCACATTTGTTTTCTGTATTTGTTGAAATTCTCTAAGAACAAGGACTGGGAATATTTTTGTTCCCTGCTGTAGCCTCAGTGACTGGCAGTGTCCAGTAGAGGTCAGATTCCCAATAAAATCTGCGGAGTAATTGAATGAATAAATACCCTATAATGTACAAGGTCCTATGTTAGAGCCTAAGAATGAAAACTAAATAAAAGATAAACCTTCCCCTTAAAAAGCTGCATTTAGGACTAGATGCTCATTCACTCAATCTCCATCAATCATCACTTACACATTAGGTTGGATTTGTAACTAGGCTCCTATTCAGATAGAGCCTCCAGCAGGACCTGAGAGTAATGCATACTACTCATCTCCAATATTTTATTTATATATACAAATACATTTTAAAATACTAATCTGAAAAAGGTATGAAAATATTTTTTATTCTAATAAGAATTATTTTTATATAGATTACATTTTAAGAATTAAGAGCTCATGTTCATTTATTTTTTTCTTTCTGTAAATACTTTAAGACCACCTAAGACTTGTTTTTAACCACTTATTTCTAGAAAAATAAACCACAAAATAACCTCCTTCCCTTAATGCCCTATAAGCAGAAATCAATAGATAGAACTTTACTGCTTTGATCAGCTGAATTTGATCTCATGTACTCATTATGTTTTCAGGTAGCTATAGTTATTACTAAGGATTTGTTTAAAAAACAAAATACTTGTTTAACTTCATGGGAATTTTAAACTTTAAGAACAAACAAATGAGTCACTCCAAGTTTTCATACTGCAGTACTCAATGCTATTTATATACCTGATGGGCTTTATTCAAATGCAAAAACGCAGGGGAGATGGATGGGTTCATCAGATGGGGCAAGCTGTGAGGTGTTCCGAGAACTGCTTTAAGAAAATAAAAGTAAAAATTAAACTTTATGATATGATAAAAACAAACTCCAGAAAGGGCAAATAAATATTTTTTTAACTTAACAAATTCATGCAAAGTTCAATGATATACTGACCTTGTCATTGCACAAAAAGTGGCAAGCTCCCTTCTCTGTGATTCAAACCAAAATTCCAACACCTTTTATCATCATAATAAAACACCAAACCTAGCCCTTCTTTTCTCTAGTGCTTAGAGCAACAAAACTAATTCCATCTTTTAGTGAGTATAATACTAACTGAACCCATGTTACTTGCTCAGTATTTTTGTTAGGTGTTTGGGACATTTTGGCAGGGAATGGGGGGGTGGAGGAGGGAAGGACAAGATACAGACTTTTCCTTTGAAAAGCCTAAAATCCATTTAAGAAGATAATATATGTACAGAAAAATATTTACATAATAAAAACAAAAGAAACAGTACTGTACATATTTGATAAAAAGAATAAATGGTAACCACACTTTTTATCAAGTTTGCCTGAGTACAAATACCAGAGTATGTATCAAAAGAGATGTTTTCAGAACAGGGGCGCCTGGGTGGCTCAGTCAGTTAAGTGTCTGACTCTTGATTTCAGCTCAGTTTTGACTCTTGGTTTCAGCTCAGGTTGTGATCTCAGGGTCCTGAGATTGAGCCGCATCCAGCTCTGCTCAGTGTGGAGTCTGCTTAGAGTTTCTTTCTCCCTCTGGCCTTCTCCATGTGCGCACACACTCTCTCTCTCAAATCAATCAATCAATCTTTTTAAAAAGGAGGGGGATGTTTTCAGAATAAATAGTATAGAGACAAAAAGGACCATGAGATAGAAAATATATGAAGTAATTTCATCTAATTATTATAAAGCAACTGGAAATTGTCAGGAATAGAAAGCACTTCAAAAAGCATTTAATTTCGGGATGCCTGGCTGGCTCAGTTGGTAGAACATGTGACTCATGCAGCAACTCTTGATCTCCCGGGTGTGAGTTCAAACCCCACGGTGGGTATAGAGCTTACTTAAAGAGTAGTGTTGTTTTAAGAAAAAAAAAAGGGGGGGGGTAAAATATAAGTGTCTTTAAAAAGAGCATTTAACCCAATGATCAAAAATATTTGGATATTGGGGCACCCGGGTGGCTCAGTCATTAAGCGTCTGCCTTCGGCTCAGGTCATGATCCCAGGGTTCTGGGATCGAGCCCCATATCGGGGTCTCCCTCTCCCACTCCCCCTGCTTATGTTCCCTCTTTCACTGTATCTCTCTCTGTCAAATAAATAAATAAAATCTTTAAAAAATTGGATATTATATATGTAATATATAACATGTCTACAAGTTTATCCCGTGTTTTCAAAAGTACATTTCAAGTTTTATTACTTGCTAAACCAGTCCATTTCATCTTTGGAAAAATGCCCATTAGAAAGTGCTTTCTATAGAATGAGTCCATTTCACAATTGGTGGTAGGAAGATTAGGTCATTAGCCTGAGTTGTTTATAAAGACAGACTGTTTATTAGGAAAGAGGGATAAAGATGGGCATTTCATAATGACAAAGGGGTCAATCCATCAAGAGGATACAACAATCTTAAATGTGCCTCAAATAACAAAGCTTCAAAATATATAAGGCAAAAATTTCTAGAACTGAAAAAGTAGACAAATCCACAGTTATGGTTAGCATTTCAACACCACCTCCTCCCTTTTTTCAGTTAGTCACTGTATTTTGTTACAAAACATTAATATTTTTTCCCTAGCTTCTAATGAATACAGTATTTCCCAGTTAAAAACAACAACCATTGGAATCAAAACACCCAGAAAATGTCTACAGTCTCACATCTAACTGCCTTTATTCTTAGCTCTTGGCTAGATCTCCCATTGTGCCCCATCCTTCCCTCCTCAAGAACGCTTGAACAACACTATCAATCAACAATATATACTATATTTTTGGACTATAATATGTCATGACGAAATGAGGTTTATCCTAGGAATGAAAGGTTGGTTTAACACTGAAAAATCAATGTAATTCATCATGCTAGCAGACCAGACAAAAACAAAAAACACATATGATCATCTCAGTTAATGGAGAAAATCACTGGATACATTCCAGCAATTACCATGACAAAATTTCTCTGCAATATAGAAATAGAAGGCAAAGTTCCCAGCCTGAAAAAAGAAAATCTGTGAAAAAGCTACAGCTGACATAATAAAAGAATTAATGCTCTCTCCTTAAGGTCAGAAACAAAGCAAAGATGTCCACTCTCACAAATTATGCTGGAATTTCTGTCTATTGCAGTAAGGCAAGAAAAAGAAGTAAAAGGCATACCTATTGGAAAGGAAGAAATAAAACCGTGTTTATTTGTGGATTATATGATTGTCTATATAGAAAATCCTAAGAAGAAAAACCTACAAGAAATAAGCTAGGTTTGCAAGATACAATATATACAAAATCAATTGTACTTGTATATGCTAGCAACATGAAATTCAAAATTGAAATTTAAGAAGCAAAACTATTTAAAATCCTATCAAGAAATGTAGGATACTATGGATAAATCTGACAAAATATGTGTAAGATTTATACCCTGAAAACTAAAAACTACTGTTGCAACAAATTAAACAAGACCTAAATAGAGAAATATTCCATATGTATGGCTCAACCTCAAAACTGTCAATTCTGCCCAAATTAGTATATAGATTCAACACAATCCCAGCCAAATTACTGACATTTTTCGTAGAAATTGACAGGCTGGTTCTAAAATTTCTATACAAATACGAAGGACATAGAATAGGCAAAACAAATTGAAAAAAAGAAGAATAAAGTTGGAGGACTTACACTAACTGACTTCAGGGCTTATTATAAAGCTACATTTATCAAGACAATGTAGTACTGGGATAAAGACAGACATTTAGATCAATGGAATAGAATAGAGAGTCCATAGATAGAGCCATGCAAACACAGTGAACTTTAATGGAAGTTCAGTGGGAAAAGGGTAATCTTTTTTAACAAATGCTGCTGGAACATCCGTAAAAAAAATTAACCTAGAACTTTACTTCACATCATAAATAAAAATTAACTCAAAATGAACCATAGATTTAAATATAAAAGGTCAAATTATAAAACTTCTCAAATATGAGCGAACATCTTAATGACCTTAAATTTGGCAAAGATTTCTTAAATCTGACAAAAGATGTACAAATTATAACAAATAATAAATTGGACTTCACCAAAATAATAAGTTTTATTCTTCAAAAGACATTGTTAATAAAGGACATCTTATGGAGTGAAAAAATATTTGCAAACTCATGTATACAACAGCAGACTTGCATCTAGAATAAAGAACACTTATAACCTAACAAGAAAAAGATAACTCAATTTTAAAATGTGCAAAATATTTAAAAAGATATAACAAAAAGATATAAAGATGGCTAATTAGCATATTAAAAGATGTTCAAAATCATCAGTCAAAAAGAATACTCAAAATCACAGTGAGATAGCACGACATAAAACAGAAAACATAAAACAGGCTAAAATTAAAGCACTAACATGTCAAGTGTTGGTGAGAAGACTGAGCACACTGATGTCCTAGACAGTGTTGGGTGAGAATACAAAGTGGTCTAACCACACTGGAAAACAGTTGGCAGAGTTTCCTATAACTTAAACATACATCTACCATATGCCCCAGCCATTCCATGACTAATTTACTGGCGAGAAATTAAAGCATAAGCCTATGTAAACACTAGTACACAAATGTTCACAGAAATTTTATTTGTAATAATCCCAAACTAGAAATAACCTAAATGTTCATCAGCAAGTCAATGAATATGCAAATTATCGAATGGAATACTACTCCTCATTAAAAAGAAAAAAAATTATTGATACATGCAGCAACATAAATGAATCTCAGTAAGCTGAGTGAAAAGAAGCCAAACAGTACATACTGTATGATTCCACTTATAGAAATTTCTAGAAATACAAGCTAGAGTGACAGAAATCAAATCAGTATTTTCCTGGGGACGGAGGAGAGGGAGATTACAAAAGGCCAGAGGAGACTTTTGAGAGTAATAAATATGTTCATTATTTTGATTATGGCGATAAACATTTCAAAATTTATCTACACTTATAATTTTATACATGTCAAGACATCGTTTTTTACACTCTATGTGCCAATTAATATGCAATTATGCCTCAATAAAGCTGTTAAAAATATAATTTATAAGACTACAACAAATCACACACTACGTAAAATTTAAAATGGACACACACACATATATAAAGAAAGAAGTCTAGAATATTTACACTGTATTGTATTTTTGAAGGTGGTTAAAAGGTCTGGATTGAAGAGAAAAGACCGGTATGGTCAGAGTAACATAAGCAAATTGGGCCTGGGAGGAAAGTCAGTCTGACAGGAAAGCGTACAGATTAGACAGAAAAGGCAGACAAGAGTAGTCAGGAATTTACAGGACCAGACCACATGTGAGTAAGCAGGTATGTGTGAGTTGTGGAACAGAGATGTAGAGGAAGGGGATTCATCTGTAAATAAATAATTAAGTCCCTTTCATTATAAAAAACAGTGCTGTTTTAGGTGCATGAGATGAACAAGACATAAATCTTTGCAATTATGGAACTTACATTCTAGTGGGAGAGCAAACTATAAACAAGTAAATATGTGTGAGTTATGTGAAAAATAAAACAAGGGTATAAATATAAGCATATTATATATACTACATTTAATATAAACATAAGGAATTATAATTCTTAGCTTGCTCTGAGCCCTCTGTGAGTAGCTCAAAGTATAGTAAGGGACAGAGTTAAGATAGAAAGGACATAGTGTTCGGGCGCCTGGGTGGCTCAGTCGTTAAGCGTCTGCCTTCGGCTCAGGTCATGATCCCAGGGTCCTGGGATCGAGCCCCACATCAGGCTCCCTGCTCCGCAGGAAGCCTGCTTCTCCTCCCACTCCCCCTGCTTGTGTTTCCCCTCTCCGGTGTCTCTCTCTGTCAAATAAATAAATAAAATCTTAAAAAAAAAAAAAAAAGGACACAGTGAAGGAAATACAGATGGAACTTATTGACTAACAAGACACTTTGTCTTTCCTGAACACGAAGAAACTTTCCATACATCCTCCAGAAGCTTTGCATGTGTTCAAGTGAAGTAGATTTCATCCTCCTCCCTTGCCACACCACACAAACAAAAAGCCATACTTGGTGAAATAATTTCTCCATCGGTGTGATAGTAGAAGATCTTATTTAAAATTGTGAAACCAGGGGCGCCTTGGTGGCTCAGTTGGTTAAGTGTCTGCCTCTGGCTCAGGTCATGATCCCAGAATCCCGGGATCTAGCCGCACATTGCACATCTGGCTCCCTGCTCAGCGGGAAGTCTGCTTCTCCCTCTGCCCTTCACCCCACTCGTGCTCTCTCTCTCCCCCCGCCCAAATAATAAAATCTTTTTTAAAAATTGTGAAACTTGCCCTAAAATAAGCATATCAAAATAAAATAAAATAAAATAAGCATAATATCTAATGCCATACATCAATCTGAGTAGAAAGGCAATCTAGAGAATGTATATTCTCTACTATATGAAAAGAAAAAAACAAAACAAAACAAAACCCAATACTGGAGAGGAGTTACTTAAGAGAGCCTAGAGTCCAAAGGTGTGGCCAATACTTTCTAAAAGACCCAAGGAGCATGATATCCTGCCTGTAAACACTAACACAATCTTGGACTGTATTAACAGAAATATAATGATCATAGGAAAGAAATCTCACCACATTCTGTGTTCAAAACCCATTCACAGGATATGTTCATGTCTGTGTACACCATATTTCTGGACAGCCCAGAAAACCTAGGCTAATATCTACAAGAGGACAGCTAGTTGGGGAAACTAGAGAGTATTTCCTAGCACATGTTATAGAAAGTCAAATATAGACCTGTAATCTCCAAAGAAATTTATGAGGTGTAGAAAAAATTACTAGAACTCTTGTTCATATTTACTTTCATCTTTAAATAAAAATACTAAGCTTTATCATTTCTTAATATATGGGTTAACAAGGGTACATTTATATAACTGACATATAATTGATACATACAGTGTATATATTGGAGCTCTGCTCAAAATTCACTGATAGCGCTGCATAGTCAAAAAATAAATTTTTTTTTAAAGATTTCGTTTATTTATCTGACAGAGAGAGACACAGCGAGAGAGGGAACACAAGCAGGGGGAGTGGGAGAGAGAGAGAAACAGGCTTCCCGCGGAGCAGGGAGCCCGATGCGGGGCTTGATCCCAGGACCCTGGGACCATGACCTGAGCCGAAGGCAGACGCTTAATGACTGAGTCACCCAGGCACCACCAAAAAATAAATAAATTTCAAAAAGACCACTGACCTAGAGAATAAAAGACAGGGAAAACAAAAAGATGACTAAGGTTTCATGATAGTGGTCTTCAAATATTATTAGAAGTCCTTTCTTAGGGAAGAAGCAATAGACTTATTCTGTGTTTCTTCAGAGGAAGAACTAGAATAAGTCACTAAAATTTTAGGGTTTACCATCTAATATAAAAAAAACCAAACCTCGTTATTAAATTTGTCCAACTAGGGAATAGGTTGCCTTGGGAAATAATGAGCCTCTTATGCTTTGAGTGGTCAAGACATAAACACATATCTCTATACCATTAAAACTGTAGAAAAGATATCTGATTATGTAATAGGCTGAGCCAGAAAACCTTTAACGCTGCTTCTTACACACAAATAATTGATGATTGTAGGATATACTTACTACGAATATTGTTGTATAATAAAAAATTTAACTGGTCTTTGTCTCTGGTTCCTGGAAGGAAATCTCTAAATACTTAGAATTTTCTGAGTGATAGGAGTGTCTTTGTTATGCTAATGAGGTGACTCAAGGTGGACCCTGCCATGGCGCTGGTCAATGCCAGAAACACCAACCATGTGATTAGAGGGCTGGAGCGTTGGGTCCCGCGGTGTCAGTCAGACCTCCTGATCTCCAGACAGTGGAGGGAAACCGGAGGTTCAGGTCTACATAATGAAACTCCAGTAAACTCTGGACGCCAAATTTAATTCAGTGGAGATCCCTGGTTGATGAATACACAGATGTGCTGGGAGGGTAGTATGCCCTGATTCAGGGGAAAAGAGCATAAAAGCTCTGCATTCGGGGCCCTCCTAGACCTAGCTGTAAGAGTATCTTCACTTGGCCATTTCTGAGTTCTATCCTTTATAATAAAACTATAATTATAAGTACAGTGCTTCCCTAAGTTCTGTGAGTTGTTCTAGCAAATCATCAAACAAGAACCTCCCAAATCTGTGGCCAGTTGGTCAGAAACACAGGTAGTTTGGGGGACCCCCTGAGCTTGCAGCTGGTGCATGAAGCAGGAGCGGACCTGTGGATGACTAAGCCCTTAACTTGTGGGGTCTGTGCTAACCCTGGATAGTTAGTGCCAGAACCGAATTGCAGTCCACTAGTTGGTGTTAGACCAGTTGGGGTTGAAACAATAAGTATATTTAAACATTTTTTATGCTAAACTTTAGTGTTGAATATAAAAATTCACTTCTTCATAATGCTAAAACATAAATTTTATGTATGTATAGTTGTGCATTCCAAGAGGTGGGCTCTTACCAGAGGAAGAATACTAAATAGGTAGATATTCAGTATATACCAATATTATAAAGATTTCCATAATATTTTTGTCATTTTCCACAGAGTGAAACATCTTTTCAACAGAAAAGAGGAAAGAGGAAACATACCTTTAACACGTCTGAACAAAGTAATTCTGCTACTAAAAATATTACATGGAAAAGTAGTATATCCTTTGTTGATACAATCCATAACAACACAATGTGTTAATTATCTGGTCTCTAAATTCCTGTCAACCACGAGCTAAGCTGGTTTTAATATTTAACATTTACTAAAAAGAAATTAGGAAACGCATAAGCAGACTGTATCTACCAAAAATAGTGAAAACCTATTATCAGTTCAGATCATTAATTAAAATTCACTGACAAGTCCTAGAAAAATATTTTTGGACTAATTTACTGTGTTTTTCATGCAAAACAGCACAAATTGGCTTCATGCCAACATTCTATATTTAATCTGTATCCATGTGCTTACCTGGTTTAACAGCTCGCCCACAGAGCTGGGGTTGTAGAAGAACTTGTAACATGGCAGGATTGTTTAAACTTTTCATAATTTGTACAGGATTTGGCTCTGGAAGTAAGCCTTTTTGATTACTGTGCATCTTCAATAAATATAGAAACAGGAAACATTAGAACAAGGATAAGTACAAAAGATGAAATTTTAAAGGTTTCTTCCAAAAATTCTCACTCCTCTGATGTTTATGATAAATGCAAATTGCTTTACATGATACATTTTTGTATATATTCTATCACAATTCTTAATTATAATGCTAAGATATTCTACTATACATCATATATTGAAATCCTCATAAAATGTCCCCATGAAATACAAATTGGCTTTAAGAGGACTAACAATTTAGTAAGATAAATCTCTTTATACAAGTAGAAAAATTTCAAGGGAATCTGAATTTATTAATGGGGAGATAATTTGTTGATACAGTATGAATACCTCATACTACAGAAGAGCCGTACTATAATGTTTATCTAAAGCATAATAATGTGGGTTGCCTTACAAAAAAATTTTTTTTTTAAGATTTTATTTATTTATCTGACAGAGAGAGACACAGCGAGAGAGGGAACACAAGCAGGGGGAGTGGGAGAGGGAGAAGCAGGCCTCCCACCAAGCAGGGAGCCTGATGCAGGGCTCGATCCCAGGACCCTGGGATCATGACCTGAGCCAAAGGCAGACGCCTAATGGCTGAGCCACCCAGGCGCCCCCCCAGTTTTTTTTATAATAAAAGTCTTCATTAACTTCATCTTCTGAGACAAAGCTGAACTGCACTCACATACATGTGATTAGGTAGCTTCCTAAAAATATGAAATTGTTTTGTTTCAAAAACTAACCTGATAGATGAGAATATTAATATACAGTTATAAAATACTATAAACTTCTAGTCATAACAAAATGGAGAACTAATAATAGGAGTGGAATCCCTCTCTAAATCCAGATACTGTGAACATGAGAGGGAAAGGGTGACAGATCTGAGAACCAGACAAAATCTGTGAGAACTCCCTTAGAGAGATAGAAGGTGGCGGGTCTCGATGTGGAGGGAGAGACTTCCGCAGGGAGCATGAGAGAGCCTGGGTCTACAGCCAGTTTGGGGACGGGCTTTTGATTGTGCAACTGTAATGAGGGCTCTCCTGGCCAGCACACAGAGGGAAACCAGCAGCATTAACCCAGTGACAGTCACAGGACCACTGAATTAAGAGTTTCTCTGAGGCGCAGTGTTATCTGGTTGGGGTGGGAAAAGGGCTGTAGTCAAGGACAGACAGTAAAGGAGAGGTTCTCAGCCCTAGCTCCTCATCTGCATTCACTAAACCCTAGCTCAAATGAACAGGCTTTTGCTCTCACCTGTCCATCCTTCACTCCCTCGACCTCTAAACACTCACATATGAGGACACTGAAACCCTCCCAGGGAAATATGTATTCACAGAACACAGCTAGACATCCGGAGAATGTAGCCATTAAAAATTATAAGTAACAAACTGAACCACCTGTAATAGACAAACCAGAATTAATGGATACGAAATGATAAGAACACTACATAGTAACAGACATAATCGATACCCTTAAAAATTTGTTGTTAGTAACGTGAATCAAGGACAAGCAGTTACAAAGAATAACTAATTAGAAATACTGGGTATGAAAAACATAAATGTTAAAAAAAAAAAAAAAAAGCAGCCCCCACTGCATACTTGACATCATTCTATGCACTTTACGTGGATTATATCACATAGTCCTCCTAAACAACTCTACAGCATGTTACTATTATCACTATTCTATAGACAAGGAAATTGAAGAAACTCATACAGAGCATTATTCTTAACCTCCATCCTGTGCTTGAACAGATAAATAGTAGAATATGTGTGGTTGAAAAACAAGAGTGCCTTGAAAGATCAGTTCAAAAGAAAGCTCTAAGACGACACAGGCAAAGGATAAAGAAGTGGAAAACGCAAATAAACAAAACACGGAAATAAGAAATACAAGCAAAAGAGAAAAAGGAAGGCAATAAAGAGGCCGAAAGTGTCAACCTGTATAAAATAGGAGTCCCTGAAGGAGAAGAAAGAAGAAGGGGATCTTTGAAGAAATGATGGCTGAAAATTTGTTATTAAAGAAAAATTAAAGAACATGGAATGAAAGGGGTTACGGCATTCCAAAGATGATGTATAAGGAAAAAACACACCTAGTCACATTTTTGGGTTTGAAACTTAAGAACATCAAAGCTGAAGAAAAAATGCTAGAAGCTTCTACTGAGAAAGAACGTATTTCCAAAGGAACAAGAAATGAATTAATACCATCTTCTTCCTCAAAGCATCAACAGTGGATTTAAGAAGACAACAAATTAGTATTTCTGAAGTGCCAAAGGAACAATTTTGAATCTACATTTTTAATATTTTTATATTCAGCTATTATTTAAATATGTGAAAGAAATAAAAATATTCCCAACTACACAAATTCTCAAAAGTTTTTACATTAATAACTTCTCTGAAAATGAGACATGAGATGCAGTAAATTCAAGACAATATTACATGATATGTGCAAATGAAGGTATGTAATAGCATAGTTAATTTCACTCTTGCATATAAAACCCAGTACCATGGAAAAAAAATACTTTAGGAAATCCTAAAATTAAAATGTAGACACCAATATGGTGGTAGGTGGGATAAGGAAGGAGGAAGTAAGATGGAGGTAAGATTGACTTAAGTGGGAAGAGAGGGATACTGATAAATCTAGGGATATAAATAAGTTAGGGGCAATCACCAATAGGATAAAGACAGAACACATTATTCTCAAATGCGAAGAAGAAATTTTTTTTTCCTTTTTTTTTTAGTAGTTATTGTCTATGGCTTTTTTTTTTTTCTCATCTACAAAACCTTAGCCCTCCCAACTGCTTCTTGATCTTAGGGGCCTCAGATAATCTAAAAACCTCATTTAACAAACATTTGGTGTCTAGTGTGAAAGAGTATGATTGATGCCGAGGAGGAATACCAAGACACAGGACACAGGTCCCTGCCTTTCTAGAGAAGAATTTGTATGAAATGGACCAGCCAAGAATCCAACTGTCAGTCGATACAAGCTGTCCTTTGTTGACCACTGCTCCAACAGCGGTACGCACTCAGCCAGTTTAATTCTCAAACTGCCATCCTCAGGTGGAAAATGCAGAATTCCATTTAATTTTCACTTTTGAAGGGGTGACGTTAAGGAAGGCACATGCGGGCTTGCTGGCTGAGGGGTTTCCTTCTTCCTGTCCCAGAGATGCTTACCTATTCCCACCTGCTCCCCAGGACAACCCACACTCGAAGAAAATTCTTATTTATCCAATAGTAGATGGAAAATGAAAATGGAAGAAAAAAGCATAGTTAAAAGAAAACATGATATAAGAGAATAGTCATCACTACATATTTAAGTAGTCTAAATGTACCAATTAAAGACAGATTTTTTAAATTTGATTTTTTAAAACATGTTTTTAGAGCAACATGTTAGCTATAAGACACATACCTAAAATAAAATGTACAGAAAGGTTGGTAATAAAGGGATGGCAAATATAAACTAAAAGAAAGTTGAAGTAGCAACTCTAACATCAGAAAAACATATAGAGGGGTAAAATAATCAATATGACTATAAACAAATGTGTACCTAATAATTAATAATACCTATACCTATCTATCTATGGAGAAACAACTAATAGAATAAGGAGAAAAAGAAAACCCAACAATTCTACATGATAACTTCTAATACATTCCCCTCAGACACTGACAGATCAAACAGAAAAAAATAAGCAAAGATAAGAAGACTTGAGTCACAATTAATAAGCTCAAACTAATATTTATACACACATATATGCACATATAACTTTGTAACCCACAAACATAGATTGGATTGTTTTTGAGCATACGTGGCACATTCACAGAAAGTAACCATGCACCAAAGCAAAATGCAGCCACAATATCCCCTCCCCCCAAATCAACATTAGAGACTAGATTCTCTGACCACAATGCAATAAATTACAAATCTATGTCAGAAGAATAGTTTTTTAAAATTCCTAAGTGGATATAAACTGAAAAACAGAAACAAAAGTAATTAAGCTTTATGTGGAAAAGGAAATCATAGAACAATTTGTAACACAATCTAAAATTTATGACACGTTGTATAGAGTTGTGGAATCACTATATCATACACCTGAAATTAATATAACACTGTATATTAACTAGAAATGAAAGAAAAACTTAAAAAGCCAAAATAAAATAAAATTTAGGATACATAGGTATAGCATTAGTTAAAAAGAAACTTGATTTAAATACATTAATCAGAAAACAATACAGATTGAAAACAAAGGTGCTAAGTATTAATACCAATAAAGACAGAGGAGAAAGAGTAAACCCAAAGAAGAAAACAAAACAAAACAAAACAAGGATATTATAAAGATAAGGGCACTGTGGAAAACTGTATGGAGGTTACTCAAGAAATTTAAAATAGTATTACTGTATGATCCAGTAATTCCTCTACTGGGTATTTACTCAAAGAATACAAAAATACTAATTTGAAAAAATACATACACCCCTATGTTTATTGAAGCATTATTTATAATAGCCAGGATATGGACGCAGCCCAAGTGTCCACTGATAGATGAATGGATAAGGAAAAGATGAGATACACACACACACACACACACAGGAATATTATTCAGCCAAAAAAAGATTGAAATATTGCCATTTGCAACAACATGAATGGATCTAAAAAGTATAATGCTAAGCAAAATAGATCAGAGAAAGACAAATACCCCATGGTGGAATTTATGAAACTAACAAAGAAAACAAAGAGACAAACTAAGAAACAAACTCTTCACTGTAGAGAACAAACAGATGGTTCCCAGAGAGGAGGTAGGTGGGGGGTGGGTGAAATAGGTGATGGGGATTAAGAGTACACTTATCATGAGGAGCACTGAGTAATGTATAGAATTGTTGAATCAATATATTGTACACCTGAAACTAATAAAACACTATGTTATCTATGCTGGAATTAAAATTTTAAAAGGGCAGAAATAAGCAAAAGATAGAAATAATGAACAGAACAAAAGCGAAACAGCTTTGTTTCGACAAAACAGGGAAATCTTTTGTAAGACTGATCAAAGAAGGGGTGTCTGGGTGGCTCAATCGGTTAAGTGTCAACTCTTGATTTCGGCTCCGGTCATGATCTCAGGGTCATGGGATCAATTGAGCCCCGCTTCAGGCTCCGTGCTCAGTGTGGAGTCTGCTTGGGATTCTCTCTCGGGAATTCTCTCTCCTTCTGCCCCCTGCCCAACTCGTGTGCACTCTTGCGCTCTCTCTAAAAAAAAAAAAATCAAAGAGAAAAAAATGCAAATAAAATACACAACAAAAATGAGAACTAAATGGAACAATTTTATTTTTTTAAAGGTTTTATTTATGTGAGAGAGTGAGAGAGAGAACAGAAGTGGGGTGAGGGGCAGAGGGAGAGGAAGACATAGGCTCCCAGCCAAGCAGGGAGCCTGATGCGGGGTTCAATCCCAGGACTTCAGGAGCATGAAGACAGAACAAATTTTAAAAATAATATTATAAATGAGTATGTGCCAATAAATTTGAAAACGTAGACAAAATGGATGAATCTATAGAATATAATCAAATGCCAATATGCCACAGAGAGAAAAATAAAACTAAAATATCTGGGGCACCTGGGTGGCTCAGTTGTTAAGTGTTTGCCTTCGGCTCAGGTCATGATTCCAGGGTTCTGGGATTGTGCCCCGCATTGGGCTCCCTGCTCCTCAGGAAGCCTGCTTCTCCCTATCCCACTCCCCCTGCTTGTGTTCCCTCTCTCACTGTCTCTCTCTTTCTCTGTCAATTAGATAAATAAAATTAAAAAAAAAAATAAAATGCATTGAAAATGTTTATCTTTATAAAAAAAACCTAAAATATCTAAATATCTGTAGAAGAAACTTAAGTGGTAACCAATGGTTTCTCTCTGTATGAGGCTCCAGGACTAGGTCTACATGCTTTCATGGATGAGACTTCTCACACTTTCAAAGAACAGGTAAGCCCTATTTTACATGAGTTGATCCATGAAATAGAAAGAAAAGGGGGAGAAGGAGAAAAAATAGTTAAATCATTTAATGAGGTCAGTATTCCCTTGATTCCAAAATAAGTGATGGTACAAAAGATTTTACGCATTTTTCACTTATGAGCACATGTGCACATAACAAAATAAAATATTATCCAATCAAATCAAACAATGCACTGGAAAAAAATGTTATCAATTAGAGTTTATAACGGAATGATGGTTTAACATTAGGAAATCTATCAGTGTGATTCAGCACATGAATGGATTTAGGAAGAAATCACATGATTGTCTCAATAGTTACAGAAATACTTTGATAAATTTCAGTACCTATTCATGATTTTTTTTTAATCTCAGAAAACCAAGAATCTGTCGAAAGCATCAATGCAAATGCATTACTTTTAAGATTGAGAGACATTTAAGATTTCTCATCGTCACTGATATTCAATCATGAAGGGCCCTGCACGCCATGCAAAGGAACCTGAACTTATGCAGGCATTAAAGAATATTAAGGAAGCAAATGATGCAATCTGATTTGAGGATGGAAAAGATCAGTCTCGAGGCACTGTGGAAGACGAATGGTAGTGGTGACTACACAAGAGATTATTTTCATTGTCTAGGTGAGAAAAGAGGAGATCCTGAGTAAAGTAACGAAGATGCTGACAAGCCTCAAGGACTGAAGAGATGTCAGGATGTGCAACTGAAAGGATTTGCTAATATTTTCAACATCTAGATTGAGTTGCTGATTCAGATAATTTTAGTTTGGGGGAACGGGTGCCAAATACAGAACACAGAATTGTACATGTATGTCACACATGTGTAGTGACATCAAGCCATGTCGGTGTTTGTTCTTCTCCAAGGGAGCAGAGTGCCCTGGTGCAGAGGTAGGCGACTGGATGGATTCAGAATTGTAAACTCAGCAAGTCCAGCCCAACATCACAGAACATAGAAAAGCAAGTTCCAGAGAAAAGAGAGTTTTCTTTTGGGAATGTTGAAATTGAACTACTTATAGAACATGAAGGTGGGATGCTTAATAATCATTTGGAAATACAGATTTTGTGCTAAGGGCAAATGGGTTCAAAAATAGGCACTTGCAAGTCATTGCTGATAGGCAGTAACTGGGGCTGTTGGAGTACACAAGGAGAAGAAAGTGAGAAAGCCAAATACACATGTCTACTGATACCAACCCTTAGGGAAAAAGAAGAAGTGGAAGGAACGGTTAGGCAGAAGAAGAATGGTGGGGTAGAATTCTAGAGTGGAGACTTTTAGAGAGACCAAGCAATAAAAGACTGAATAGCACCTATTCAACCTGAAGACGGAGAAATCTCTTATTAATCTTAATGAGAACAGGTTCATATGAATAGCGGAGGCAGAAACCACAGTGCATCAGGCTGAGAGAGAAATGAAGACATGATGAAAGGAAGTGGGGCCTAATTGTTCAAGAAGCTCCAGGGGTGAAGGAAGAGTAATATAAAGGTCAGTATGTAGAGAGCATTTGTTAAAGGAAAGGATCTGAACATGTTTATAAGCAGATGGGATGGAGCTAGGGTAGCAAGAAGTAGGCAGTAAGTAGAAAGGTAAGGATCAAGATCCTTGGAGATGGCAGACATGGTCATGAGCCCCAGCACTGGCAGGATGAGGCATGGCTCTTCCTCCAAGGAGGGGATCTTTGTCCATTTTGTTCACTGATGAATCATAAACATCTCTAACAGTGCCTAGCATGTAGTGGGTGCACAGTATGTATCTGTGGAATGAATGCTACGGAAGAGAAAAGGAAGTAAAAATAGGGACACAGGAGCACCTGGGTGGCACAGTAGATTAAGGGTCCGACTCTTGGTTTTGGCTCAGGTCGTGATCTCAGGGTCACGGGATCGAGCCCCACATTGGGCTCCATGCTTAGCTCAGTGTCTGCTTGAGTTTCTCTCTCTCCCTCCCCCTCTGCTCCTCCCCACCCACCCCCGCCATGCACACTCACACTCTCTCCCTCTCAAATAAATAAATAATCTTTTTTTTAAATATGGGGACATATTTGCTGGGGCAGTATGAGAAGAGTTGAATGAATGATCCAGCACATGACCTTTGTATTTCTAAACAGTAGGAGCCATGATCAGCTGACAGAAAGGACAAAGGCAGAAACAGAGTGAAGGTTCGAGATAGTTGCTGTAGAGAATGGAAAAGAGCAGCTGATGAGAGAGGATGAGCTAAAGTTTTGCTGGGGACCAGGCATTAATGTATATTACACATGTGTAGTAGCACCAAGCCACGTAGGTATCTGTTTCTCTTCGAGAGGACACAGTGCCCTGGTGTAGAAGTAGGTGACTGCATGGATTCAGAATTCTAAACTCAGTGACTCTGGTCCAGCAGAGGCAATTTAACCAGAGGCACAATGTTGTCAGTCGAAGAGCTGAAGTTGTGACTCATGCAAGCAAGGGCAGGAGAATGACAGAACTGAAGAGGGGAAGGACAAACTACGAAAGAAGGGAGGAGGGATCCAGGGCCAGACGTAAGGTTAAAGAACAGGAAGAGAAGGGAAAGAGATGTGCAACCAAGAGCAATCTCCTCTCTTTTCCTCCCTCCTCAGTTCATCTACGAACCACTTTCAGACCAATGTCTTGATGGCTTAACTCTGATCCCATCACTACCTTGTTTATATACCTCAAAAGCTCCCCGCTGCTTACCAAATTCAATCTCCATTCCCCCGGTGCTCAATGGTCCTCTCGAATTGGCATCAACCTACCATTTCAGCATGCATCCCTTCCTACCCTCCTCCACCTGCACCACTCACCTGCCTTGAAGCATGCGAATTTGCCTCATTCTACTGCTTGAAAGCTTTTGTTCAACTCACTCTACAGGTGTCAGATTTAGCAAGTAAAAATATAGGCTGCCCAGTTAAACTTGGGTTTCAGATAAAGAATAATTTTTTCAATATACTGTCTCATGCAAAATTTGTATTTAACTAGCAATCCTATCCTCTACTCCCAATACATTTCAAAATCACACTTTAATGTCACACACTCAAATGCCCTCCATCATGAAGTCTTCTTCCCTCATCCCTCAAAAGTGTATTCCTTTCGGGGCACCTGGGTGGCTCAGTCAGTTAAGCATCTGCCTTTGGCTCAGGTGGGATGGAGTCCTGCATCGGGCTCCCTGCTCCACAGGAAGCCTGCTTCTCCCTCTCCCACTCCCCCTGCTTGTGTTCCTGCTCTCGCTCCCTGTCAAATAAATAAAATCTTAAAAAAAAAAAAATTGTATTCCTTCCTTAGTTCAGTCAACAAGCATTTACCATGCTAAGTGCCTCGAGTCAAAACTGAACTTCCGGAATAGTCCCTATCTGCATGGAACTTCCACATGAAAGAGGCCCAGAGAGGAATAAGCAGATAGTTAACGATAGAGAAGTAGTAACAATGGGCCATGTGAGCAAAAACAAAGCACATGTCTTCCTGTATTTGCACTATGGATACTTATGAACACTTTGAAAAAAGAGACATGACACTCAAAATTTGGAACAGAACATTCCTTCAAAAAATTTACTTGGACAAACTTTACCAAATGCAATTTCTTCTTTTGTAATGACTCCTGGCTTGACATGACAGAGATACCATTTAGCCAATTCTTTCAAAGGAAGAATGTCTTTGTGTAATGGAAATATAATGAGAGCCCAATGAATGGTCAACTGGTTTGGATAGATTAAAATAGAATTTTTCTACATCCTAATAAAGAACGATAGACTTACCACACGTTGAGCTGCTATCAATGCTGCTAACGTACTTCGCCCTGGCGCTCCGGGGGCACAGAAGGAAACTTGGACTTTGCTTCCCTTGATGGTCATACCATCAGCTGCTTGCTGAACCTCTTCAGCATGCTCCGCAGTGTTATATTCAACCACTGCAAAGCCACCAACATAACTACCTTCATCCTGTGCAAGCTGATTTAATACATTTTGTTAAAAGAATTCTAATATTCAGTTAGAAATATTTATTTTCAGTATATAATTTTCAGATTCAAAAACAAATGTATCAGAGCATGATACTGGTGAAAATAATATATTCTTTCTCCCTAAAATTAAAAGTTTCCTAGTTGTGGGATGCCTGGCTGGCTCAGTTGGGAGAGCATGTGACTCTTGATCTTGGGGTCGTGAGTTTGAGCCCCAAGTTGGGTGTAGAAATTACTTTTTAAGTGAATAAACAAATAAATAAATAAAAATAAAAGTTCACTAGCTGTTTCTATACAGTCCTTCCTGAAGATGGGATGATAAACAAGATTCTGTCAAGTTTCTTTTTAATTCTTTGATTTTTCTATTTTAAAAGTCAAAGCAATTCCCAAAGAGGGAATATTATCATATTCCCTCTATATTAAGAAAGATGTGTAACTGATAATTTAGACACAGAAATATATGGAAACACAATAACAAACTTTCTTTAAAATAAATTTACCAGGTACATGGACAATGAAAGATACTGAACAATTATTTGACCACATATCTATGTAAATTAAAGTTTGTATTATCAAGAGAAGAAAAGTAGGAGGAACCATATTCAACTTTTAACTCAATAACTTGGGCAGATCTTAGGAATTTGGTCAAGTATTCCAACGCAAACCTTATTTGGGAAAACTGTGCCCCAGGTTTGTTAAAATGCCATATGCAGCACACCAGCTTTATTTCTGGATGTGCCCTAAATAAACTCCTGCAATGTAGAACTCGATTTATTTCCAGTCACCCACCTGTACGAGTGTAAAGGAAGATACTAAAGTCCTGGATCTGTAAAGACTGGTACAAAGAGCAAAAATAAGAACAAATAAGACACTAAAAAGTTTCTAAGTTTTGAAGAGTCTGAATTATCTTAAGCACATTCACGCAATAAACTGATAAATGTGATAAAATTCAGCATGGTATGTCTTTGAGAAGACACATCTACAACACTTGTTTGGATTTCACATCTCATAAGTTAATATTACAATTAAATAATTTCTCAGTCTTTTTAAATTTCTGCCTCTTATTTCTGAAGCTTTACTTTCTTGTATCGTTAGACCAAATTTCTATTTTTCCTTCACATTCTTCCTTCCTTTTTAAAACTGTCCTCAAATGTCTTTTCTTCCACAAAACTTTTTCCAAACACATGACAGAAAGGGAAAACATCTACCTCTTCCAAACACTTCTCCTCAACCCCATTCCTCTTATAATCCAAACCAGATATTAAAATCAGATTTGTAAAAGCCATCAGTCTTTGGTGTCCCTTGATCACAAGATCAGAGACTATCTTCAATATAGTCCATGTCAACCTACCAAGCAAAAGAGCCTGAATTTCATAGATCCACTGATAAAGGCATCATAAAGTTGTTTTATTAATCTTTTGAGAACTTTTGAAACACTTATTATTATTCCTCGTTCATTATGATAGCTTTCATGCCTATACAAATTATAATACCATTTTAATTCTTTCAAAAGACAAAATCACCTAAGTCCACAGCATCAGTAGTTTTAAAGAGGAATATTTCAATTCAGTAGGAAAGCCATTCAAATATGTAATGGTCTGACTTCGGATCTAGTTAATTTTCCATTATTTTGAAACATTTTAATAGAAGCTAAATGGTCACTCGCAAATAATATAACAAACATTTTTTCTACCCCTGGCAACCTAGATTAGAGAACCTCTCATGTACCTACCAACTCTGGGATTCATAATTCAAATACAAGTTGTGATAAATAGGTTTTCCCCTCACATTTACTTCAAAGGCCTCAACTACAGCTACAAAGAATTTTGTTTGACCACAGAATATCACTGTCTAATTTTACTATCCAAGAAAAGGATATGGATTAGATATCATCATCTATCACCTTTCAATAACTAACTGGGCAAAGATTTGATAAAAGCTCTGTCACAAAATTTTCTAATTTTATGATGCTCTTAGATGGTTTCTTTGATGCATATATTGGGATTGGAGGGGTAGAAATGTAAGAAAAAGATGGTAGCATTAATCTATTGTTTCTATATAGTTATATGTATTAAATATAGTTACATAGTTATGTATAATCTATATTATTTCTAAATAAAACAAATTTATATAAACATGATATGTAATACATTATAATTATATATAGTTATATATTATATATATTGCTGTGTGTGTGTGTGGAGATATATATATAACTTATATATATATAAAACTATAACAACTCTAAACTTTCTACTGTAATATTAGAGACTCAACAAATGTATGATTAAAGAAAAATGGTGGGGTGGTGGGGGCAGGGAATAGGGGGTAAGAAGAAAAGGAGCATGGGAGGAGAGAAGAGAGGGAAGGAAGAAGTTAAGGGAAGCAAGAGAGAAAAGAGTTCATCAGTTGCTACTGAACACCTACAAGGGAAGGAGCTTTATACAGTATATATTTTTGTTTATTTAGAATATATTTAATTTTACTGATCAAGTACATGAAAATTCTTACCAGTGTTGTCAGTTTTCAGGATCTTCTCTAAATGTCTCACCATGATCCCATTAACATAGAATTATACATTCTTTTTAAACTTCATAATACTTTCCTATCTTCCACTACATTATCTTTATACAGGATTTATAATTATTTGCTTGTCAGTATCTTCTACAAACTTGTAAGGTATTGAGAGAGTACGTTTCTATTCTCTGTATTTCTAACTTTTAGCAATATAGTGTCTGGCACAGAGAAGATAATAAGTAAAACTTGGATGGATGAATGGATCAATGGATGGAGGGCTCAACAAATGGATGGAACGAGGTGAATGAGTAAGTGATGGGTTTGCTAAGACATACTTAACTATATAATAATATAGGTTGACTCATCCACAAAAGGAATTGACTTAAAATTTAGAGTGACCTCAAAGTCTTCATCACAGACTAAAGAAGACTTAGATTATCCATTGTGATATTCACATAGGTATAATAAATTTGTGAGTGCATGTAGAATACATAGGCAGAAATTTTCAAATATTTCAAATGATACCTCAAGAATACATACCTGGCAAAACACAGGTTTATGTATATTGGAAAAAAATTGCAACAGCTCCTCTGAATCCCTGTAGTCACTAGGGAGTTTATTTATACAAAGGCACTTAGAATGAATGAGCTCTGCGGCCAATAGATTAACATCCATCCATTGTGCAAACAGAGCTGATGCTCCCAATTGTTTACCCAATAATTCCAATCTAGCCTTTGCAGCAAAGTCCTTTTTCATGTATTCCACAAATCCATAGCCTTTGGAATGGCCAGTAACTTCACTGTAGACTAGAAAACATCTCTCGATATTTCCATAAGCACGAACAAGTTCTTCAAACTCTTCTAATGTAAAAGAAGTGGGCAAGTTGGTAATACACAGCAAAGCATCTGTTGGCTGGAGCTGAACAATTAAGTCCTTTCCTCGAAAAGAATACTGATGAAACATCTGAATTGCATTCTGGGCTTGCTCCCCATTCAGTAAGGTAACAAAAGCTAGAAGATAACACAATGAAATAAATAATTTTCTAAGCCATTGTTTTCAAACTTTTTTGACTATGGTCCACAGTAAGGAACATATTTTTGGTCTGTGACTTGGTACACACATACACATTTCCAAAACAAAAGTATCAAGAACTAATACTCCTACCACATGCAATGCCCTCTCATATTTCTATACTATTTCATGGTGCTTTTTAATACTGACACTACCCACTTAACCAATTTCAAGACCAGTGACTCAAATTAAAGTATAGGAATTATATTAGGGGTTCCACGGGGTGCCTGGATGGCTCAGTTGGTTGGACGTCTGCCTTCCACTTGGTTTGTGATCCCGGAGTTCCGGGATCAAGCCCTGCATCAGGCTCCCTGCTTCTCCCTCTGCCCCTCACCCCACTCATGTTCTCTCTCTCAAATAAATAAATAAAAATTTTTTTAAAAAAGGACTTCCACTATAAGATACTACAATGTTCTCTCTTGTTTTTTACTTTTACAATATTTTCAAACTACATATTTTATTTTTCCCAACTACATGTAATGCAAAATTTTGTGAAGTCTTAAAAATTTTCTTTCATATTGAAGCACCTAAATACATAAAGCAAATATTAACAGACACAAAGCGAGAAACTGACAGTAATACAATAACAGTTAGGGACTTTAACACCTCACTTACATCAATAGATAGATCATCCAGGCAGAAAATCAATAAGGAAACAGTGTCTTTGAATGACACATTAGAGCAGATGGACTTAACAGAGATATACAGAACATTCCATCCACAACCAACAGAGTACACATTCTTTCCAAGTTCATAGGGAACATTCTCCAGAATAAATCAAGTTTCAATAAATTCAGGAAAATTGAAATCCTATCACATACATTTTCTGATTACCATGGTATAAAACAAGAAATCAATCACAAGAAAAAAAATGCAAAAAACCCCCCCACAAACATGGAAGCTAAATAACATGCTACTAAACAGCCAATGGGTGAATAAAGAAACCAAAAAGGAAATTTTAAAATACATGAGAACAAATGAAAATAAAACCACAATGGTCCAAAATCTTTGGGTCACAGCAAAAGCAGCTCTAATAGGAAAATTTATAGGGATACAGACCTACCTCAAGAAACAAGAAATTCTCAAGCCGTCTAACCTAATACCTAAAGGTACTAGAAAAGGAAGAACAAACAAAGCCCAGAGCCAGCCTTCCTTCCAGAAGGAAGAAAATATTAAGATCAGAGCAGAAATAAATCAGGGACTAAAAGAAAAATAGAAAAGATCAATGAAACCAAGAGCTGGTTCTTTGAAAAGATAAAATTGTTCAACTTTTAACCAGATTCATCAAGAAAAAGAAGAGAGGATACAAATAAATAAAATCAGAAATGAAAGGGGAATTAACAACCAACACCATAGAAATATGAAAGATTATAGGAGAATACTACAAAAAATTATATGCCAACGAATTGGACAACCTAGAAGAAATGGATACATTTCTAGAAACATATCATTTTCTAAAATTCAATCAGGAAGAAATAGAAAATCTGAACAGACCAATTACTAGTAACAGTTGAGTTGGTAATCAAAAACGTCCAACAAACAGAAGTCCAGGACCAGACTGCTTTACAGGTTTATTCTACCTTTCATTTAAGCAAGAATTAATACTGATTGTCCTCAAACTATTTAAAAAAAATAGAAGAGGAAGGAAAGCTTCCAAATACATTCTATGAGGCCAGTATTATCCTGATACAAAAACGAGACAGAGATGCTATAAAAAAAGAAAATTACAGACCAATATTCCTGATGAACATAGATGCAAAAATCCTCAACAAAATATTAGCAAGTGTATTCAGCAATACACTGAAAGGATCATTCACCTAGATCAAGTGGGATTTATTCCAGGGATGCAGGGAGGTTCAGTAGTCACAAATCAATCAATGTGATAAACCACATTAACAAAACAAAGAATAAAAATCATACAATCATCTCAATAGATGCAGAAAAGGTATTTGACAAAATTCAACTTCTGCTCATGATAAAAACTGTCAACAAAGTGTGTTTAGGGGATACCTTAAGCTAAATAAAGGTCATTCATGAAAAACCCACAACTAACATCATACTCAATGGTAAAAAATGAAAGTTTTTTCTCTAAGATTAGAAACAAGACAATGATGTCCATTCTTTTTATTCAATGCAGTACTGCAAGTCCTAGCCACAGCAAATAGACAAGAAATAAAATTCATCCAAATTGGTAAGGAAGAAGTTAAACTGTCACTATTTGCAGATGACCTAAAGATTCCACCAAAAACTATTAGAATAAATGAATTCAGTAAAGCTGCAGGATTCAAAATTAATACACAGAAAACAATTGCCTTTCTGTACACTAATAATGAAGTAACAGGAAAGAAAAAGAAAACAATCCCATTTATAATTGCACCAAAAAGAATAAAATGCCTAGGAGTAAATTTAACCAAGCAGGTAAAAGACCTGTACTCTGAACACTATGACAATGATGAAATTGAAGATGGCACAAACAAATGGAAAGATATCTCCTGCTCCTGGACTGGAAGAACCAATACTGTCAAAATGCCCATACTACCCAGAGCTATCTGCAGATTTAATGCAATCTCTAACAAAATACGAACAATATTTTTCACAGAACTAGAACAAATAATCCTAAAATTTATATGGAACCTCAAAGGACCTCAAAAAGCCAAAGCAATCCTGAGAAAGAGGAACAAAGCTGGAGGCATCACAATCCCAGATTTCAAGATCTACTACAAAGCTGTGGTAATCAAAACAGTGTGGTACTGGCACAAAAACAGACAGATCAATGAAACAGAGAGCCCCCAAATAAACCTATACCTATATGGTCAACTAATCTATAACAAAGGAGGGAAGAATACATGGTGCTGGGAAAACTAGACAGCGACATGCAGAAGAATGAAACTGGATCAGTTTCTTACACCATACACAAAATACACTCAAAATGAACTAAAGACCTAAATGTGAGACCTGAACCCATAAAACTCCTAATGGTTGAAAAAAAAAAAAAGGCAATTATTTCTTGGACATCACCCTTAGCAACATATTTATGGATATGTCTCCTTAGGCAAGGGAAACAAAAGCAAAAATAAACTACTGAGCCTACACAAAAATAATATGCCCAGCAAAGGAGATCATCAACAAAACAAAAAGATAACCTAATGAATGGGAGAAGAGATTTGCAAATGATATATCTGATAAAGGGTTGATACCCCAAACACATAAATTTACACAACTTAGCACCAAAAAACAACAAAAACTCCCCAAAACCCCAAAAAACAAACCAATCTGATTAAAAAATAGGCAGAGGACCTGAATAGACATTTTTCCAAAGAAGACATAAAGATGGCCAACAGATACATGAAAAGATGCTCAACATCACTCATCATCAGGGAAATGCACATCAAAACCAGAATGAGGTATTACGTCACACGAGTCAGTATAGCTAGTATAAAGAAATAACAAGTGTTGATGAGGATGAGGAGAAAAGGGAACTCTTGTGAACTATGGATAGGAATGTAAATTAGTGCAGCCACTGTGGAAAACAGTATGGAAGTTCCTCAAAAAATTAAAATTAGTAATAGTCATAGTAATTCCACTACTGGGTATTTAATAAAAAAAATGAAAACATTAATTTGGAAAGATATATGCACCCCTGTTTACTGCACCATTATTTACAACAATTAAGGTATGGAAGCAACCCAATTGTCCATTAATGGATGAATGGATAAAGAAGATATGGTGTATATATACACAACAGAATATTACTTGGTCATAAAAAAGAATGAGATCTTGCCATTTGCAATCACATGGACAGACCCAGAAGGTGTAACGCTAAGTAAAGTAAGTCAGACAGAGGAAGACAAATACTATATGATTTCACTAATATGTGGAATCTAAAAAACAAATGAATAAACAAAAACAAAGAACAGGTACCTGACTGGCTCTGTTAGTAGAGTATGTGACTCTTGATCTAGGGGTCATGAGTTTGAGCCCCAGGTTGGGCATAGGCTTTACTTAAAAAAACAAAAACAAACAAATACAGAGAGCAAACTGGTTGCCTGAGGGGCTATGGGGGAGATGGATGAAATATATAAAGGAAATTAAGAGGTACAAACTGCCAGCTATGAAATAAGTGATGGAGATGAAAAGTACAGCATAGGGAAATACAGTCCATGACACTGTAATGCTGTATGGTGACAGATGGTGACTACATTTATTGTGGTGAGCACTGGGTAATGTATAGAATTGTGGAATCAATATGTTGTACACCTAAAGAAAAGTTATACACCTGAAATATAACACTGTATGTTAAATATACTTCAGTGACAAAACTGAAGGATACAAGCCTATAAAAATTTATTATATCATAACATATATTAGAAAATTCTTTATGAAAATAATGTCTCTAGTGACATACATATTAATTATTGTGATTATAATTTAGGATACTAATGTTATCTTCAGAAAATACATTGTGAGTAGCATTTATATGATTTTTTTTATTTTTTATTTTTTTAAAGATTTTATTTATTTATTTGAGACAGAGAGAATGAGAGACAGAGAGCATGAGAGGGAGGAGGGTCAGAGGGAGAAGCAGACTCCCTGCTGAGCAGGGAGCCCGATGCGGGACTCGATCCCGGGACTCCAGGATCATGACCTGAGCCGAAGGCCCAGTCGCTTAACCAACTGAGCCACCCAGGCGCCCGCATTTATATGATTTAATGCTTATGAATTTCAGAGATTATCTTAAGAATGAAAAGAGAGTAAAGTTTTTTGTTTAGTAATGCACACATTTAGAATCAAAATGAAACCAGGTGCTTAAAATTGAAATCTTACCTGTTCGCTTATTTCTGTCCACATAACAATACTTTAACTCATAGTCTTGTAATAAATCATGAACGTCCTGAAAGAGACAAAACATGAATTCAAATAAACCCACAAATGTGTGGATTTGTGTGGATAATCCAGCTGTACTATAGCCAACCACTACCACCACCACCTGCTGTGTGAAAAACCTTTCATGGATCTCGATTATTTGTTTAACTTAAAGGCATCCCAGACCACCAAATACGACATCAACCTACCTTCCTATTGTGTATTTCCCAGTACAGAACATGCACATAGATCATGTTTCTGCTCAATGGGCATTCACTGTTTCACCAGGATGCCATGCACAATCCTCACTCTGAATCTCTACTGACGCTGATACCTTGACCTTGCATGGTGCAAAGATACCACGCTAAAGCTCCTAAACTTCACCTAAAATCGCATGCATCCTTTGAAATCCAGCTCAGATATTCTTTTTTTTTTTTTAAGATTTTATTTATTTTTCAACAGAGAGAGAGAGACAGCAAGAGAGGGAACACAAGCAGGGGGAGTGGGAGAGGGAGAAGCAGGCTTCCCGCGGAGCAGGGAGCCCGATGTGGGACTCAATCCCAGGACCCTGGGATCATGACCCGAGCCAAAGGCAGACACTTAACGACTGAGCCACCCAGGCGCCCTCAGATATTCTTTCATGAAGTTTTTTCCAATTTTATTTATTTATTCATTTATTTACTTACTTACTTATGATTGAGAGCGAAAGCACAAGTAGTTGGAGGGGTGGTTCTGGCAGAGAGAGAGGGAGAGAGAGAATCCCAAGCAAGCTCCATGCTCAGCATGGAGCCTAACGTGGGGCTCGATCTCATGACCCTGAGATCATGACCTGAGCTGAAATCAAGAGTCGGACACCCAACTGACTGAGCCACCCAGGCACCCCAAGTTTTTTCCAATTCTTTTCTGCGGGATAAGACCTCTACCACCTCTATGCTAACACTGGTCATACTTTATTTATACCTGTCTTACAGAAATATTATTAAACATTTCTCTTCGTATACAACACATACTGAGTTTTTAACAAGTAATACACTTGTAGATGCTGGAGTACCAGCAAAGAGAATTAATACAGGTAGACTGCAAACCTAGATATCCTTGGGTATGAAAACAATAACCACCACCAAGGTATGTATGTAATTCAATTTATGTCCCCTTGGCTCCCTAACGTGTTGAAACTGGCTTTCCTGTTCATTCTGCTTCCATTATTAACCCAGTCTGAACTCGTTTCTTCTGGTCTTTTACCCACCTGGGGTCCTAAAAAAGCAGATTTCTATTCCTAATCCTTCCTGTTAAATTGATAATACTTGAGTACAGGAACTATATTTCATATATCTGTTTATAACCTCTATTGCTCTGCAAATGCTAGGCACTCAAATATACACTAAAGTGAATCGAATTTTGTCACTGAGTTGATATTTGGACTTGGAAAATTTACTCATAATATACAACTGATGGAATTATTATTTTCTAAAGGAACTGGACTATCACATAGGTAGACATTCTGATCCTAGATTGGAAAGTTATAGCCAAATTGTTCTATCTTGCATATGAATAAATTAAACACACACACGTGTCAATATGTTAAGTTCACAACAGAAACTAACTCAATAAGAATTCTTATTATTGCCATTATTACAGTTAACTTTCATTTAGCTTTTATTAAGTACCAGAGCACTGAACTCACCCTTTTTTATTAAAAATCGGGAAATCAGGCCTGACACTGACAGGGCTCCCTGACAGAAAAGTGCATGCTCTTGACTCTTGGTCTTGGGATCATGAGTTCAAGCCCCATGTTGGGTGTAGAGATTACTTAAATAAACTTTTAAAAAAGGGTGGGGGCACCTGGGTGGCTCAGTAAAGAGCATGTGACTCTTGATCTCAGGGTTGCATGTTTGAGCCTCACGTTGGGTGTAGAGATTACTTAAAAATAAAATAAAAAAAAAAAAACACCTTTATAGAAAAATAAATAAATAAATAAAAATCAGAAAACCACAGCAGAGCAAAATCCAGTAACTTGCTGAGTGGAGATTCACCAGTCTGGCACCCTTAACCCCTATATCATACTACCATATATTCCTTCCAGAATTAACTAAAAATAGTATACTACCACTAATAGTTACAAACACAGTATCATTAGCGCCCTAATATGTGATCACATGGAAATGGAAAATAAATAAGTGGACAGTTACAAGTTGAGACATATTTTCCCCTTTAACACAATGCAAGGGGGAAAAGAATGATATAATAGACAAAGTATAAAAGCATAATGCTGGGGCGCCTGGATGGCTCAGTCATTAAGCTTCTGCCTTCGGCTCAGGTCATGATCCCAGGGTCCTGGGATCGAGTCCCACATCGGGCTCCCTGCTCGGCAGGAAGCCTGCTTCTCACTCTCCCACTCCCCCTGCTTGTGTTCCTGCTCTCGCTCTCTCTCTCTCTGTCAAATAAATAAATAAAATCTAAAAAAAAAAAAAAAAACTGGCTTCTATTTAAAAAAAAAAACATAATGCTGGGTGGAAAAAAAGATAATCACCTATGAAAAGAAATTAGAGAAAGGTAAAGTTGATAATCTAGTATTCTCTATGAGTAAGTCAATATTAGATACGTTTTAAAACATATATACTATTAATTTCATAAAATAGGATTTGATGAATTATACAGAAATATGATTAATATACAGATTAGTTTACCTCTTACTATGGTAGCTTTTTATCTTGTAAGCTTTAGTGTTTCCTTGGACTTAAAGCATATGGTATACTCATTAAGAAGATATAACTCTCTCAATAGCATAGCATATACATCTTGCCAATCAGCTAATTTAATCCTTAATATAGAAGGTGGCACAGTTTTGTCTGAAGGGATCCAGTGTATGCTTTTAGTGGTACAGACTCTAATCTCTCATTTCACTAGTTATCAGCTGTCAAATGCCAGATAAAGAAAACATGACACTGCTCTTCCCATTATCAAGTATCTGTAAACAAATGACATGTTATGTTACTCATTCAGCTGAGAGAATTACCAGAGAGAGATCTTATGTATGCAAAGATGCATTTTGCAACTTAAAAATTTCATTTCCAAAATACCTCTATTTCAAATTGTAGCTTTTCTATGCATTAGATGTGGGATACAGAATTTGCCAGCTAGGAAACCTTACAAACCTTTTTGCAAAGAAAAAAAAAAAACAAAACAATTGTTTTCCTCTATGTCCTGGTTGTTTTGACCCAGGCAAAAGTGGGTCACCCCTCAATTTGAGCCTCGGTGAGTTGGCCAAATTAAAAACTTAAAACCTGAAAGAGAGCCCTAACAACCATTTGCCAGAATTCTACTATGCTCCATCACACAGAACCCAAACAACTAAAATTCTCTCTCTCTATTCTAATTGAGTTTTATGACATTTCTATTAACTTACAAGTCAATTTTAAGGAATAAAATAGTACCTTCTGACCAGGAATATCAGTTACAAATTTCTTACAGTAAGATGAGTTCATCAAAACTGATAGTATTAGACAGTTTTAGCAACCTATTTCCAGACCATGTTCCTTATTACTCCCTGGAATTAAATGAAAAGTTTTGCACATATGAAATATTTCCTAGGGAGAGAATCAACAGCCGCAATGAAACCCAGCCTTAGTTTTAAGCCTGAATCACACTGTCTTCTAAGCCCTTTTCCCTTTTTTTTTTTTAATATTTTATTTATTTATTTGATAGAGAGATACATAGAGAGAGAGGGAACACAAGCAGGAGGAGTGGGAGAGGAAGAAGCAGGCCTCCCGCAGAGCAGGGAACCCGATGCAGGGCCTTGATCCCAGGACTCTGGGATCATGACTTGAGCTGAAGGCAGACGCTTAACTGACTGAGCCACCCAGGCGCCCCTAAGCCCTTATTAATTTCTTTTTCCTAAGAAAGGCTTTCACAGATTAAAGCACTCTACTTTCAAATTCCATTTTAGAAAAAAAATATTCTTGCTACTTGTCCTTTAAAATTTTAGGTGATTTGATAATATAAAAAAAGATTAATCTGTAACATATTAAATTATGAGGCATAATAATGAAATAAGCACCTGGGAACTCACTACCAAACCTAAAGACTAGAACATCAACAACACTGTTCCATTGACTTCTGCATTCCTTTGCTAGCCCATCCTGCTACTCTCCCCCGTGTGTGGGCTGCACACATACAAATGATCATCTTTGTAAGAAAGTGCCAACTTGTTTGCTGGAATGGTTGTAGCAGCTTACGTACCCATCAAGAGTATGAGAGTCCCGCTGATACATAACTGTACAACGCTTGGTGTTACCAGATACTTAAGTTTTGTCAATTTAGTTGGTATAAAATTGTACCTCACTGCGATCTTAATTTGCATTCCCTTGAATGCAAATTAGTAAAGGTAGGGCATTGTGATGATTAGTTTTGTGTCAACTTGGCTATGGTATCCAGTTATTTAATTAAACATTAATCTAAGTGTCGCTGTGAAGGGTTCTAGATGTGGTGAGTATCTACAATCAGTTTATGTAAAGGAGACAACCTTACATAACGTGGCTGGCCCTAATCTAATCAGCTGAAGGCCGTAAGAGCAAAAACTGAGAAACTGAGGTTTCCTGGAGAAGAAATCCTGCCTCAAGATGGTGGCATCAACACATGCCTGACTTTCTAGCCTGCTGGTATACCTGACAGATTCTGGACTTACTAGGTCCCACAATCAATCAATAGCTCTATGTATATCTGTATATAATATAAATGGATGTTAATATAAATATTACATATAATCTCTTTCTTTGAAGAACTCTGATATAGGCATCTTTTCAGGTTTATTTGCCATTTATTTCCCTTTCTGGAAAACACTCATCTTGATGGCCATTTTTCTATTGTATTTGTCTTTTACTGATTTGTAGTTTTGTTTTTTTTTTTTTTTTTAAGATTTTATTTATTTACTTGACAGCAAGAGAGAGAGCGAAAGAGGGAATACAAGCAGTGGGAGTGGGAGAGGGAGAAGCAGGCTTCCCATGGAGCACGGAGCCCGATGCGGGGCTC